AGAAAAAAAAAATGTTGTTGAAGACACAAAGACGACTTTTAACTCGTGAGCATCAACAAGCCTCTGACTTCAGGTTATCGGTCAGTCAAAACAAGACAAAACTGGTGCTCCGAATAACCATAAAATCCCATATGTAGGACTCTGTAAAGTTTTCTGATAACACATCTTCCCAGAAATGTTTTGCTTGGATCAAATCCGTCTCGATCTGCTCTGAGCTTCCAAAGAAACAACTGCATGAAATATATTTTTAAAAAGTGTTTACTTGGGGTCTGAACATGTGCAGCACGTGATCATGTGCCATTCCCAGTCTTGGAAGTACATACAATTTAAAACGTATTGTTGTTTCCAAACTTTGTGGAGGCGTCGCCCTTCTGGAACCAACAGCTCTCTGCTGATTCACTCCTCATCACCTGTTTGCCACCAGAGCCGAGCTTCTCTCCTGCAACGATGAGGAGGAGGAGTGGATCTGAACCGCAGCAGCAGTGGTGGGAAAACAAATGCAGTCAGCGGATTTCGAGGAAAGTGTTGTCATGTTCGTAGAAGAGTAACGGCTTCTGCAGCCATCTGGTCTGCTGTGGGAGCAGAACTCTCCAGCGTGAGTCTGTTAGAAAAAGAGGAAGAGTCGAGGTTCTGTTACACATCGTGGGCGGAACTTCTTTTACAACAACACTGAACTAAAAATTTTATATTGTGCAGAGACCATGGTGCTGTTTTCAGTGACACAAATGTCCAGGTGAACCTGCCTTCACCCTGAGTCAGCTGGGATAGACTCCAGCCCCCCATAGTGAGGATTAAGGTGTAGAGATGATGGATGGATGGATGTATATACAGTTGAAACCAGAAGTTTACATACACTGTATAAAAAGACATATAAACTTTTTTTTCTCACTATCTGACTTTAAATCAAACTTAACGTTTCCTGTTTCAGCTCAGTTAGGATCACCAACATTATTTCTATTTGCTAAACACCAGAATAATGAGAGAGAGAATGTTTTATGACTTTCTTCAGAGTCAGAAGTTTCCATCCATCTCCTCAGTATCTGCTAGCGTTGCCTTTAAACTCTATGACTTGGGTCAAACGTTCCGGGTTTCCTTCCACAAGCTTCTCACAACAGTCTGATGAGTTCTGGCCCATTCCTCCTGACAGAACTGGTGGAACTGGGTCAGGTTTGTTGGTCTCTTTGCTCCACACACCTTCTCAGCTCTGCCCACAAATGTTCTCCAGGATGGAGATCAGGGCCACTCAAAAACATTGACTTTCTTGTCACTTGGTAGTTAATCTGGAGCTATGCTGAGGGTCATTGTCCATCTGAAGACCCATTAGTGTCCAAGCTTTAACTTCCTGCTGATGTCTGGAGATGTTGCTTCAGTATCTCCACATCATGTTCTTTCCTCATGATGCCATCTATTCTGTGAAGTGCACCAGTCCCTCCACAGCATGATGCTGCCACCCCCGTGCTCCACATGTGGGATGGTGTTCTCAGGCTGCAAGCTTCCCCCTTTATCTGGCTCTAGTGGTGGAGCAGGTTGTCCACCGACAGGAAGGTTGGTGGTTTGATTCCTCTCTTGTGCTGAAGTGATCTCGGGCAAAACATTGAACTCCAAGTTGCTCCAAACCCAAGTTTGCTCGGCAGCTCTGCCGCCAATGATGTGGGTGAATGAAAAACACATTGTAAAGCACTTTGTAGAACCTAGCTGCGGTTAAAAAGTGCTGTTTTTGTGTTTGCCATTTACTTAATCAACTGTGAAAATGACCAGGCAAGACAGCTCACTGTTATGTTCAAAAATGTTAACGATGTGACTTTGACAGATATTAATAACTTGGACCCAGTTCCTCAGTTTATATCCAGAGGTTTTTTTTTTTTTTAAATTTAGAACACCTAAACCACATTTCCATTTGGTGTTTATTACATTTAATACACTGGACTCACTCTGGAATCGTCGTGCTATCAGCTCAAGGCGGGTTACGGTGTCAGTATTTAGTGTCATCGTGCAAACTTTACTGTTCAATTGACCCTCGCAGCACCGAGCTCGTAAAGCTTCAACCATCACCTCCTCGGCCTGCTGCCCAGTTTGTCTTGGCATCTCGTGCTGCAGTTTTGGGCAACAAGTCAGCAGCAGTAGAAGCCAACTACTCTTGCCTGAATATGAGCACATAATCTGCAGCTGGCTTGTAACAGCATTCTTACCTTCGCCTGGTTGGTGAGTAAAACGCTCTGTGCAAGAGGTCAGAGGTCAGCGCTGTGAAGTAATGGAAACTAAGAGCTCCACTGCAAGTCAGCAAGAACATTCGTTTTAATGCACGCTGATGCAGATATTGTTAGATGCAGAGCATTAGTTTTCCTAATTTCCTGAACTGTTGAATAAACAGGACGAATTCCAGATGATGAGGCTTTGAGAACATGTGAAGTGGAAACAGTAACAGATGATCTGAATGATGATGCGGGAGCTTTAACACATCATCTGCTTCTGCTCAGAACAAACTCTATCGTGCATCCTGAGCTCTTCACCGACGACGACTCTGTACAGCAGGAGTCTGGTGTGATGTACAAACGGATCTTTTATGGAGAAAATGGGTCAAAAAACACTTTTCCACCATGCAACTGCAAAGCAAGTGGAAAGCTAAAAATAAGAATTTCCTCCCTGGAAGTTCGTTGTTGTTATGATGGAGGATTGCTTGCTTCCTGAAACGTCTGTAGATTCAAGATGAAAACAGCCAAATTTGAGCATTTTTACCAGTTTGCTGCTCTATTGAGAACATATAAACTCCTCTTTGGGCTCGAGAGTAAATATCTGTTATTTGGGTTGATTGTGTTTTGGATTTGTTCTGGTTAATTAGATGATGATGATGATCATCTGCAGGATGTTCGACGCAGTTTAACTGAAACCTCATGTTGAACTGAACAACGTTCCCAACATGTTTGTTTAGTTGAAAGTGAAACCAAATCAGATGAAACGAGGACAATATTATTTGTAAATACGGTGTCTTGATTTGAACTGTGTCGTGTGAGGATGTGGCAGAGTTTAAAGCAAATGACAAAGTTCTCTGAACTTTATCTGAATTTCACATTGTGATTAATACAACATGAAGTGAATAAGAGCTGTTTTGTTTTTTAACATATATTTATTCAGATACTCTGCATCAAACAGCTGACATCCCATGAACAAGCAACTCTTTAATAAAGGAAAAAGGTCTTTAACACAATGCTCTTTTTCAAAATAATGTATTTACAATCCTTAATTTCACAATACCACAGTATAAGTATGATAACACACACACATATATATACATGAAACAAACGAAAGAAAAGAGCCTCAAACCTACAGACAAACTAAAGGAGGGCTGCCAGACAATTAAAAATAAAAAAGATGGCACAAAATGTCTTTCACAATGTGAGCACAGTAATAAGACGATGCCCCATGGGCCAAGTCGTGACCACTAGATTCTCTTTTCCCTCCAAGGCCTCGCTCCAGAAGGTCATTGAAGTCTTTAATTCTTTCTAAGTCTGGTCTGTTTTCTTGGATTAATCTGTCTTGGGAGACCCTAACAGGTGCTATTACCCCCAACAACAAAGCTGCCATGATGACAGGGACAAACAAACCCCTGACTGGTGGTGACTGTTGCTGCAAACAAAGCTCTCAGTCTGCGTTCCAACCCTCACATATGGCCATGAACGCTGGGTAGTGACCTAAGCAGCCACTGAAATGAAGCTCAGTGTGGAGTCGTTGCTCCTCCAAGTATCTGACCAGGCAGCTGGGAGACGACACTCAGCAGACCCCGGAGGATCACATACCTCATCTGGCCTGCGAATGATTCAGGATCCTGCAGGAGAAGTTGGAAAACACTGCTGGGTAACTGGATTTCTGGAATGACCTGCTCATCCTGCTGCCACTGAACTTGAGCCTGGACGAACAGAAGACGATGGATGGAGCCAGGAGACAGCACCTGGTTCCTGAAAGCTGAACATATTTAAAATACCTGCTGGTTGTAGGTTTGTGTCTCGCTCTTTTATTAGCTCTCAGATGCCATGACGAGCATCATACAAGCGGTTTCCTGGGATATGCTCAACAACATGTGTCCTTGTGGCTGCCTGGAAGGTCACTCTCTTCTCGGTGGCTTGTGTTAGTCTGTGCATGACGCTGGTGACCTGCAGCCGGCCTGCAGCACAGACTGACTGTAAACAGTGACGGCCAAGTGGACCAGAGACCTCCGAGCTCCTCACTGATTACAGCCTAAACATACACAGCTTCAAGTGATCCAGTTCCTTAGTTCAATAACACAGTTCATGCTCTGGAACAGCCTCACTGCAGACGGACAACCTTTAAGAAAACTTACATTTCCAGTGTTTTTACTCATCCAACCTCACACACAGTAATTGTTCTTTTACTTACTGTTAATGTTATTCAATTAAAAATATCACCTTTGTTTTTCTGTTCATTTCTTGTGCCTGTTTTCCATCTCCTGTGGTTGCATCATTTTGCATGCAGTGTGCTCCATAAATGAAGTTGTGTTTTTATTATAAAGCCCCTAAAAGCACTGGACACAAGCTTACAACATGCAAACGTGTGCGTAGTGTGTCTGCTGCAGTGTTTTGCTATCGTTTTGCATAAAATTCATTATAATTTAACCACTTTACAAATATGAACTCGCACAACTCTTCCATTAAACTGATTAATGATGGAGGAAACAAACAGTCAACAAATTAATCAAGCTCACAAAAAAGCAATAAAACCACTCCAACATGCAGCACTGATTAACTCCTCATGCTGGGCCTGCTATGTCACACAAACATACGTTGAATAAACGTGAAAGCGCAGAAACTACATTGTGGAGGCTTTAATGAGAGGCTGTGCTGGCAGCTCACTCTGCCCATAAAGCGGTCTAATGATTTACTTTACACATATTTTTCCATTCCCCGCCCGGGGGTCAGCAGCCAATGGCTTGTCAGAAGTTCACAAGTGCTATTTAAGACGCAGCCGGTTCAAGGTGGTTCAGATATCAGCGCAGTGCGCGCAACAGGACGCGCAGGACCGGACTTGGAGGAATAAACGCTGCGAGGCTGCGCTCCGTCAGATCGCTCAGAACTAACTGTAGGAAGACGTTTTTCTGTGGAAGGAATAAGCTGTGAAAGAAATGAAAGCGTGGAAAGTTGTGTTTGTGTACTTGTTGGTGTTGAATGCAGCTGTGCAGCATGTGACGTCCCTGGAAGAAGAACTCGCGGATTCTATTCTGGGTGAGTTTGACTTCATCCACGTTCCGCCTCGACAGCAGCAGAGTTCTGCAGAGTCTCAGGAACATTGTAAAATTTGTGTTGAAGTTTGCTCCTTTTTGTGTGATTTGCTGTTTAGTTTGTACTCTGCCTGCAACACTTACAGTCGATGTAAATGACATGTTATGGGTCACGTGTCCAGAACTGAAGAGCTTCTGTTCTGAGAGACAACATGGACATGTTTGTGTGTCACCATCAGAGAACTAACAGGGAACCTTAGAGACACAAAGCAGTGAAAACATGCAGAAAACAAATGATCTCAACAGAATCTGAGTTGTAAGGTGTGTTTCTGTGTTTTACTGTAAGTCTCCTAAACTGCTCCAGACTTTCTCGGTATGTGAGCGGCTCTAACCTCCAGCCCCCCACCCTGCCAACCAGCACAACCCCCGTTGAGTTGAGTCAGCTGACTGCAGCAGGACCACTGGACCTTTGCAGTTTATAGTCAGTGAGCTGGAAGGAACAAAGCTGGGAAAAACCCTCAAGGGTTTCTGTGGCGCTCAGTTCTGACCAAGTGAACCCCCGTAACCTCAGAGCGCTGATCTCCTCTAAGGTGGAAGCTCATTTACTGAGGGGCCCAGAGGGGCTTATAGCAGCCGGTCGCCCAGTCAGCTAGTCTCAGACCCCCCACCAGAACATCAGATAAGATTTACACATCTGACACACAAACACCGGCCGGAGAGAGGAGCGACCTCTCCTCCACTCTTAAATATTTGTTCTAGAGAGAAATGTGGTGGTAAACCTCGAGCTCATCTGTTGATTCTCTCCATCAGGGAACTTCCTCGACCCTCTCAAAGACTTGTTTGATCACAAGGACGATGGAAACACAACTGTTGCTAAATTCTCCCTCCGCAAACCGTCCCATCCCGACGACGACCTCTGCTACATCACTCCTGGCAAACCGGACTCGCTGGCGGCCTGCACCTTCAACAGCACCGCCAAAACCTTCCTGGTGATCCACGGATGGACGGTGAGCCGAGACTCTCGTTCCTGTTGTGACCTGCCTTTGCTTTCAAACCCCCTCGAGCTCTGTTCACCTAAAAAAAAAACCCTGTGCCTGGTAGAGTTTCACTAAATTCTGGTGCCACCATGTCTTGCCAAACTCACACAACCAATTTTCGTTGACAAGCAACAACATGTTGCCGTCAGAATCGAGGAATTTGACCTGATCTAGATTTCACAATGCAGATGTTCACCTCAGCACCAATGTTGTGTCACGCGCTGACTGTGATGCTCTGACTGTTGTTTGAACAGCTGAGCGGCATGTTTGAGAGCTGGGTGCCGAAGCTGGTGACGGCGCTGTACGAGAGAGAGCAGACGGCCAACGTCATCGTGGTGGACTGGCTCAGCTCGGCTCAGAACCACTACGTGATCGCAGCTCAGAACACCAAAGCGGTGGGCCAGGAGATCGCTCACTTCATCGACTGGATCGAGGTCAGTGGGATCAGACGGCAACATGTTTCACTGTCCAGTTTTTATTTGTCTTTTCATGTAAACACAAACTTAATCCAGGTTTAAAGCATCATCAGTGACTTTTTGAGCCATTATTGGGGTAAATAAACATCAAGAAGTGACTTCTTGGATTCATATCTAGAGAAAACAAAAAGAAAACTTAATTTGGGTTTTATTGTTTATAACAAATCAAAACACTTATTGAAGCTGATTTATTAACCATAAGCCACTTATTTAGTTCAAATTAAAGCAAGAAGCAATAGAAGTTTTTATACCTCAAAAAGACTGATGCAAAATATTCCATTAATTCTTTTACGTTGAGCGTACGGACCCAGTCTTTGTCTAGATTATTGTAAACTAATCTTATTCTGATTCAGAGGTACGTCCGCTAGCAGCTGAACACAGTTTCTGAACTGAAACAGGCTGTTAATCGTGTATATTTAGTTTATCTGTGAAGGATCATATCTGTCAGACTGCTGACTTTAATCATGTTTATTGTGCGTTTTTAAGGAAACCACCAACATGCCTCTTGACAACATCCACCTGATTGGCTACAGCCTCGGGGCTCATGTGGCCGGATTCGCCGGCAGCCATGCAACCAATAAAGTTGGAAGGATAACTGGTAAACGCAGCATTACATGCTATACATCTTAAACGTTCCTAGTAAGTAGCTGTGATCAGGTGTTTGACATACAGGTACAGGTTGCTTCACACTTTGCTCTCTCTATTTGAAGGTCTGGATCCGGCCGGTCCGGACTTTGAGGGCGAACACGCTCACAGACGACTCTCTCCAGACGACGCTCACTTTGTGGACGTCCTTCACACCTTCACACGAGGCTCTCTGGGCCTCAGCATCGGCATCCAGCAGCCCGTCGGCCACGTGGACATCTACCCCAACGGAGGCAGCTTCCAGCCGGGCTGTAACCTCAGAGGCGCTCTGGAGAAGATCGCCAACTTTGGGATATTTGGTAAAAACAACAGAATCATAAAGACTTCTAGTGTCAGTTCAGCCGTTGTTGTCCTGTATTTACAGAATGCAGCAGTTTGCTGTTTGAATTTGGTACAAAGCACTTCTTCTCTTCAAAGATGTCTGAACTAAAAGTCCACTTGATGATGAGTGATATTTTAAACAGGCCTACACCCTGTTGACATAATAATTCATTCTTTGTTGTTTCTGGTATTTTAAACCAACAGTGCAGCCACTATATCAGACAGTTGCACAACAATGTTTTGGTTCCAAACAGTTTGCAATGTCCGTTTTTTACCTTTCGTCACAGTCCAGCAGCTTTAGTAAGTCTGTAGCTGCTTGTCCCAGATTAGCAGTGAATGTTGTTACTGTCAGCTGCACAGTGACCTCATTCACACCGGTCAAGGTTGGATAAAGAATCTGTCTTATTAGCTGACAAGTGAAGTTAATCTCTCTGTAACAAGCCGAGTCAAGGACTGACATATAAACGTTTTATTGCTGCGTTCTTTTAGTTAATTTTCTATCCCTCGTTCCTCCCCAGCCATCACCGATGCAGTGAAGTGCGAACACGAGCGCTCGATCCACCTGTTCATCGACTCCCTGCTGAACGAACAGGAAGCGGCCAAGGCCTACAGGTGTGGCAGCAACGACATGTTCAACCGCGGCATGTGTCTGAGCTGCCGCAAGAGCCGCTGCAACACGGTGGGCTACGACATCAGCAAGGTCCGCAGGCCGCGCAACGTCCAGATGTACACCAAGACACGAGCCTCCATGCCCTTCAGAGGTCAGTGGGCTGCCCTTCACCAACTGTTGCACCATCTTCTTAGCTAATAATATTACAAAAACAAGGTCCAATGATTAATTAAAATGTCTGCAGACGTGATTAAAAAGACTCAGCAGCGTTACAGATCTGGTTGTTCTGGATGCAGAAGTCTGATCATGTGAAGCTTATTTTTGCTAAACCTGCTAAATCTAAACTGGAGCAGTTTCATCACAGCAGCTTACATGTTTATTTTAAGTTTGCTAACTTGTGCACACCGTTGCTGTCTCTTCCAGTTTACCACTATCAGCTGAAGATCCACTTCTCCAGCAAGGTGAACATTTCAGAGATGGAGCCTTCGCTGACCGTCTCCCTGTTTGGAACCAAAGACGAGGCAGAAAACCTGGAGCTTAAGCTGTGAGTGAGCGCTTCACAATCCTTCATAACAGAGAATTACAGCAGCATGACTTGCATCTTGCACGTTATACGAGCGGTTTTGTAACAGTCAAAGAAAACAGCGGGGCACAGAAACCATAAAGCGGAATAAAACCACTCACACGTCGTGAAGTTGGCTCATTCAGGCGTGCGCTTACGTTGCTGTTATATCATGTTTTATGGTGCATATTTTACAAGCCCTAGTTTAGTAAAACGCTCTTTCCGGCTATGTGCAGAGCGCTAACGTTTCTCCATGTTTGTGTCCGGCAGAAAGGAGAAGATTGTGACGAATAAGACGCATTCATTCCTGCTGGTGACAGAAAAAGACATCGGCGACCTGCTGATGCTGAAGTTTAAATGGGAGAACACAAACGGCTGGTCTGCCTCCAACATGCTGAAGATGGTTTCCTCTTGGTGGTCTGGAGACTCAGACGGGGCAAACATGGAGGTCCACAAAATCCGAATCAGAGCCGGCGAGACGCAAAAAAAGTAAGTGGCAAATGCAAATGAAAAAAGCATGTAGTAGGTTCGTAGTAGAAGTGAAAATGTTTAGTCCAACTAGCAAAACGGATCGAGATGTGTGAGTGTGATGTAGGTGTTCCACCACTTTGATTCAGACCAAGCAGCAGCATGTGTCCTCAGAAGAGGAAGACGCTTTTTAAGGACCACAGTTGAACGATGCTTGTTCTTAATTATAATACATTAAAACCAGGTCTTCAGCTGAACAGAAAGCCATCTTTAGTGTGAGTAAGAAACTTTGATATTTTTCAGGCAATATAATAAAGCTTTAATGCAATAAGTCAGTTGACAAAAAGTACTATTTGAGTGGTTTAAACCTTTGAAACCATCTCTCATCAGAAAGTACTATTTCAGTTGAATGAAGCTCTGGAGTACTGTGTGTGGAATAAACCTTTTAAACCATGAGGTGCACACTTTAGCAATTATCCAGTTCGATAGGTGGCGCTGTCGCAACAAACGAGGCTTATACAAGTGCATTCCTACAACTGCGCTCCTGAAAAAACGATCTTCTCTGCTGTCAGCACATAGTATTGATCTCCAGAGTTGAAAAATGTCGCCAGCGCTGAAGTGCAGTTCCCTGAACGGCCACTCGAGGCAGCCTCCAGACACGAGTCAGTCCCCACAGACCTCCATGTTAAAGTGTCCAACTGTACCGCAGACATACATACGCTCATAGACTCCTACAGAAAGCCGTTATGGTTTCTACAGCTGATATTCCTGTTCATGATAACTGAGGAGTGGATTTTAATCTAACTCACTTGCTAAGAAATGTATTAAGGTTAAAAGTTTGAGTGACCAGTGGGTGCTGTTGCAGGACGCTCGTTTAAACACTTCGGCTCATGGTACAGTTCACCAAAGTGTCTTTCTGAAAACATCTGAGGCGAGAAGTAGCTATGCAGGTGCTGAATCTTCGTTTTTGATGGACCTTAAATGTTTGTCAGGAGTTTCCAGAGGAGTCAAGTGGTGGCTGGATGCTCCTGATTTGCATAAAGTAGCCGAGGCCTCAACATGACCCTGCTACCAGATTACACTGCAGGGCTGCTTGCATAGACAATAAATGGGAAGCGTTACAATGAGGGATCCTATGGATGTGTACCATTAGCATTTTAGCATGTTAGCATACCGATGTGAGCTCTGACACACCTGCACTGTTGCTTAACCTGCATACTTCTGACACCATTTATCATTCCTCCACCTGCAGGATGGTGTTCTGTGTAAAAGACCCTGATGCTCAGAACTTAACACAAGAGGTCACGTTCGTTAAATGTAAGGACGCGTGGAGGACGAACTCCAAACAGAAAAGGTGAGTTGGCCTCTGCTGTCTTAACTCTGCTGCTCTGTTGTCGCTAAATTACTGCTAAAGCTGATAAATAACATTGAACTTGTATTTGTCTGTAGAATCTCTCTGGAGAGCCACTGACGTTGAAGAAAAGACACTGTTGAACGCTCTTCTGTCCACTTCAGCACTTACCAGTTAATTTATACACATTTTATACTCCTGTATATTTCTTTTAATATACAAAACCTTTCCCAGCTTGTGTATATATCCACAAAAAGCGTGTTTGTTATTTAAAACCATGTGTATGTGAATAGTGTATCATATTTTGTACAAAGCTGTTTTTATGACACGTAGCTGTAACTTCATTGTCGTACTAAATGGCGTCATCTTTGGTGCACCTTTTTGTTGTTATAAGTCGGCTCAGAGTCTCGCACACTGAGATGTTGGATCGGTACTGACGTCCTATTGTGTAAAATACCTCCAGTTAAGTTTCATGTTTAAAGCAAACCACTGTGAAAGGTGACGTCGTGCAGAAGGCTACCTCTGGAAAAAGAGGGGGACATAATGTTAAATGTGATTTTCTTTAGGTGTTTTAGGCAATAGGGTGCAATGTGTTCACATTTGTCGTGTTATTGATGCGTAACCGAAGCGAGCATTCACCACTGAGGCTCTGGGCAGCGTCCGGGCTGCGGGGCCGGCATCAGTGTGCCTTACTGTAGACAGTCGCCACAAGTAAGCTGTTGCAAGTTTTCTGAACTTCTTTTTTTTTTTTTTCACCTCCAGTGTGCATTAATATTGTTGTTTTACCGAAGCAGCAGAACGCTTTAAACACTTTTGCAGACTTTTTACTGCGACGTCTCTGCAGCAGGACGTGTTACTTTGAAGCTGTCACCTCAAAGAAGTGTCAGATGTTCATGTGATGAGTATGTGATGCTCAGCGTGAGACTGAGAGCACAGCAGTGTTTTTACTGTCGTGTTCTTTGTAAATGCAATTTGTTCTATGCATAAGACTTCTAAAATTCTTATTTTTTGAAGCTAATGCTCATTTAATCCTAATTACATTTCCAGTCCTGTGAGCAATATGTAAACCTCAGCTCTTTAGAGATCGGTACTGTAACCATTGTGACTTCATTTCTACCTACTTTTTTAAAAAGTGGAAATGTTTTGTTTTTGCACTGAAAACGGGAAGTGACTTGTACAGTAAATATATGTAAATACCACAATACAGGTGACAGAATGTGTCGTGTGAAGCACTGTTGGCTCGATATTTTTACCTCTGGATGAATTTAAACTATAAAATGTGCTGTTCTGTAATCCTCTGTACATATGTGTAAATACGTTCCTGTACTGTGTAAATTCTTTAATAAACCAAACCTGCGATCTGAGAGGTCATCTTGAGCCTGACATTTCTGTTATTGACTGTAGAAATGATAAATATTTTATCCTCACCTCACACAGAAATGTTCAGCGTTATCGCTCATATTTACCATCTCAAGGCTCCATTTTTTATTTATTATCAAAGCAAAATGGGTTTGATCCAAACAGTTTGAACAATTTAAACTCTCCCGCAGCTGTTTGTGATATAAAAGTACAAGGAATTGTTAAATTACCCAAAATAAGCTGCGATATTCCTTTATGTCCTTGCAGCTGTGACGCCAGTGCATTGGTCTGATCGTGTCAAGGTGACCTGAGCGACAGATTAAATCAGGATACTTGTGTAAACTGTGCAGATAGTTGAAGATTCACCACATTTTTGTATTTATAAAAGGTCATTAAAGGGTGGAATCCTTTACAATGCAGTGTATTTTAGAAGTTTAAATTAAGTCTTGAAGCGAATCCTGATCTGTAAAGTGGCTTGTAAGTTGTAAGATGTTGTAAAAAGTCAGTATTTCCTCTGGTTTGTAGTAAAATAGATGCAAAATACATAAAATAATGTAAGAAAGTGCCTCCAGATTGTATTTACATTCAGTACATGTAATAAAACTGTTATTTTTGGAGATTTCAAGCACGTTTAAACTTTTCCCAGCATCAGATTCACCACATTTTGTACTTAGAAGTATTTAATAAAAATCATAAAGTAGGAAACCTTTACAGTGCATTGTGTTTTATAGGTTTATCATCTGTTTTTATGCTCATTTTGATCTGTAAACTGGCTTACAACTTGCAAAATATTGTAAAAAGTACAGTATCTCCTCTGGTGTGTCATAAAAAAAGATGCAGAATACAGATTAAAAAGGAAGAAAGTGCCTCCAGATTGTATTTACATTCAGTACCTGCACCTGAACAGTTTTTACAAACACATTTAATGCCATATTATTAACTTCTCCCTTCGTAAACATGCAAACGACAGCCCTGTCTGCACCGGTCAGGTCCAGCTGATCCCTAATTTGCACTCGTCTCACTGAGATGGAAAGCTGGATGGTCCTCGAGGCTGAAATTAGCGCTCACTTCATTCCAGCGACACAAGGTTTTAAATTGCTGTCGGTGTCCTGCTTCACTCGGACGTTGGATCTGATCCACCACAGTTGGTCAGCAGCGTTTTCCACAACACACACATCACAGGACACTCTTATCGCTCGATGAAGTGTAGCCGGCGCACGAGGAGAAGTAACGATGCACAATGACGTAGAGCGGTGTCAGCTGGCAAAACATGGCGAGGAGCTCTGGGCAGGTGTTCAGTGTCTTCTCAGGTCGCCTGCAAACTGTTTGAAATGTGGAACAAAGTTGGCAGAATCTCCTCCATGTGGCCTTGACACTCACAAAATCCCACATAGCAGGAATGTGTGCGTCATCGTGGTGGATTCTCAGAGGTCACGGGTGTCTAGAGTTCGGCCGCAGAGGCAGACGGTGCAGCCCATCACGCCGGAGAAGGTCAGGATGGCGAGCAGGATCGCCCACCAATAGGCCTGCAGAGAATAAACGACAAATATATTAATTCAGATGAGATGAAATGGTTCTAAAGGTGGTTTATGTAACTGTTGCATGAATTTCTTGTGTTTTTGTGATTTGAAGAAACAGTTGGCCTTGAACTCCAGCTCAAGTTAACTAAAAGTGCTTCAGTCATGATCTTCCAGACACGTGCTGGGTCACGGCAATGCAGCCGCAGGAGCCAAGAAACACGACAAATGACCAAAACTGAATCTGAAAACATCACTGAAAAACGCAGCAAGCTACATTTAGTCTGAAAATGTCGTTTACGAGACCCTGTGGTGAGAAATAATCAGAGAACTGCAGCTGAGACATGAAGAAATAGGAAAGACAACACAAATGACATCATAACAACCAAGCTGCCAATAATCACATTTAGAAAAATCTGTAGATCTTAAAACCACTGAAGGGGTTGCAAACACATTTAAGTGATTCATTTCCCAGTTTGAGTAGATAAATGTATAATCAAGCACATGTGTTCTGAAGAAGTCTTCCGACCCAACAATCAATCAAATCTTTCTCCTTTTTGAAATGAGTCAGCGAGCCAGTTGTAGCTGAGCCACACAATGCATCGTAAAGCGAAGCTTCAGTTCCGTCTCCAGTGAAAGTGACGGCTGAAACCACGAGGTGCTCTTAAACCCAAATGGACATTCCCGATTCTCCACGCTGTCATGAGAAACTAAATCTCAAAGACGGCTACAAATGAAGCGCTGCAGACAGCTGAGCATGAAGACGGGAAGCCAAACAAACAGCCAGAGCCCAGAACTCCGGTTAATATCTGGCTGTTTGAAAACACTTGGAGTGGTGTTAATTAATGCACGTTGTCCTGGAACAACTAAACTAAGTTATCTTTAAGATGACAGAGTTAACTAAGAAAAACACGAGTTAAAGAAACGGACCGTATTGTGACAGAGCTGCACCACAACGGTTGATCTTTCACTGAACAGTCATTTAAACAAACTGGACCCTTTGGACTCATTGAATGCATTTGGTTCACTACATGCAAAACTAAAAAAGTCTGAAGTTTAACATCTCATGATTTTTGTGTACAATAACTTCAGGATATTTAATGAAGCCATGTTATATTTTACCTTTGTGCTGTGAATATTTTATGAGTTTCAGTCCTTAGAAATCCATAAAGAAAGGGTCGAAAGTTTGTGCTTTTTAATTTGTGTGACTTTTTTCAACAATTTTTGAGCCCGACAACTTTATCAGTACAGGAAACACACAAACTGAAATTTCCAGCAATGGAGAAAAACTGCATTCAAATCAGTTTTACATCCAGTTAAGGAGTCACAATCTGGTTTTCTTTGTCCAAGTTTGAGCAATAACATCATCAATCATATCATTTGCTAGAAACAAGCACCCTGGATGTGTTTCTGTTTTCTGATCATTTGCTGGAGAAAAAGTGCCTGTTGGGTCAACATTTAGGGGCCATATAACCACGTGTGATCTGTGGTTGGTCAAAACAAGTTATAGCAAATGAAAAGTCTCTATTTTTACCTACATTTTAATACCAAGATCATCGTCTAGCCATTAATCTGGTTAGATTAAACAATTTATTGTATAGTTTTAATCAAATCTAAGTAGAATAAAGTGATTTTGATAAAATATCCACATTTTAAACTTAGATTTGGTTACATTGTCAGATGGAACGACACAGAAAGTTGTAAAGCAGATGATTCTCGCTCTTGACACAGTTTCTTAATCTGATAAATGGTGTGAACTTGGTCATTTTAAAACAAAAGATAACACGTCCTTCAAACACAGCAGCAGGGTTTAGGGTTCAGAGGATTAACTCCAGTAGTTCTAGGAATTTTCCAGAGCTTCTGGAGTTAACTGAGTTAATTTATAAACCAACCCAACAGCTTGACGACCACAGAGCCCTCATCATTCTGCATATTTCTTTACTGTCGGTATTTGTGACTCCTAAACCTCACAGACAGCAAAGAACGACTGGGTCAGAGCAGATCTGAATATCTTCTAACATGTGGCCCAGACACAGCAGGCAGATGTTCTCCAGCCTTGTGGTCACACTGTGGATCCACAAACCAGGTTCAAGTTGCTTTTCTCATCTGTAAACCATCTATTTGGCCCAAAACTGGGGAGCCTCAGCTTTTAGAGTCTTCCCACAGTTGTTTGTGATCTGGCAAGCCAGCATAAGCCAAGTGTCGGGTAAACGCACTTTGATTTGAGCCGTTTCTTTGTTCCATGATTGTATTTATGCTCCATGTTTGTGTTAAGACACTAATAAAGGAAACCACCTTCATCCACTCTGCCACGTCGTCGAAGTCGGCCAGATTGAGAAAGGAGTTCTTGAGCCTGGCGATGGGTCCGTCGGCGTCCAGGATTCGACACACGTGGAATTTGTCACAGTATCCACGGTTACCGTAGCACGGAGCCCCGCCCACCAGAGGCAACGCTTTCCTGGAGAAGTGACGAGACAGAACGGAGGAGGTGGTGCTGGCACACGTTTCAGGCTTATCTGCAAGAGAAGTTCAATTACAGAAATATAATATTGTCAGGGTTCTGGAGTGAAAGGCTTTTATCAGCCACCACATGACAACCACCTGCCTGACGTTGTTTAGGTCTACGTTTGTTCCCCAAAAGTCCTCAGATCTCTGAAGGTATCCTGTGATTTCAGGCAGATCTTTGCCAGTTGCCTTGTTTTTTGAAAACACATCCCACAACACTTCATCGTATTGAGATCTGTGGAGCTCGGAGGCCGAGTCAACATGTGAAGAACTAATCAATATTGTTCACTTCGCCTGTCAGTGGTTTTAATGTTGTGGCTCATCAGAAGGTCTATATAACAACGTTGGCAGATGTGACTGGTGCATGCTTCCCCCCCTCTTGCTGATCTGCTTCATCTCTTTCTCATTCTGTGTCTGCCTCCTTCCCAACAGGTGTGGCTGCTCAGCAATTAGAGTACCTGTAAAGAGGGGGAGGGGCTCTCTCTCCTCAGTCCGGCCTGCAGCAGCACAGAACTTGGTGGTGGTTCTGTGTGACCTCATGAAGTTACTTTTGGTTTTCTCTCCTTTTTTCCTGGTGGGTCCAGTAGTTTAGTTTTTGCAGCTTTATTTCCATTGCTGAGGATTTAGCTGGTTTATGTTTATGTTAAGGTGGGGGCTCGGTGGTTAGCATCGTTAGCGCCTCACAGCTAGAAGGTCGCCGGTTGGCGTCCCGGTGAGGACACCCGGGATCTTTCTGCGTGGAGTCTCCATGTTCTCCCCGTGCAGCGTGGGTTCTCTCTGGGTTCTCCAGCTTCCTCCCACAGTCCAGAAACACATGCTGAGGTTAATTGGTGATTGTAAATTATCCGTAGGTGTGAATGTGAGTGTGCTTGGTTGTCTGTCTCTAAGTGTAGCCCTGTGATAGACTGGTTACCTGTCCAGGTGAACCTGCCTTCACCCTGAGTCAGCTGGGATAGACTCCAGCCCCCCATAGTGAGGATTAAGGTGTAGAGATGATGGATGTTGGGAGAACCCTGTTCCTCTGGCCCCATGTGGGTTAAACAGTGGCGGCTCTCTCTTGTTCTTTTTGCTGGCCCACCAGTAATCAGGTAGTTTGGTAGGAGGGTTTTATTTAGCTAGCGTGTTTGTAGGTTTTCAGTCTTTAAAATGTTCACATTGCTTGTCTACCTTTTTCAATAAAAAACAAAACCTGTATTTTCCTTGCAGCTCTTGGCCTGTTTGTGTTCATTCTCACTGGTACCAGCTAAGCGAGGGGATCCTAACAGTGACTACAAGGAGTAAAGGTCCAAATGCTTGTAAGCACTACGTCAGGTCTGAAAATTTGTGACCTTTTACTGCCGCGTCACACCGTCTTGAGCACGGGCCAAAACATCCAGCCCTGATTGTAAATCCTGTTTGTCGCAAACAAAGCACTTGGGACTGTCTAATGGAAAACATTAATAGAGACCTCAGTACAAATTGACACAAGCGAGCTTGTTGGGGCTCAGAGTGTAAACACATTCCTCAGTGGTGGAGAAACACATGGAGCTGTGGTTACCGGGCTGCTGGCAGCACATGTGGCATTTCTCCTTCAGGGAGTCTCCTGGACAGTCGCACTGCTGCAGGTGATGCTTCAGACACACAGACTCAGAACAGACCTGCAGTGAAGAAGAGGCCTTGATTAGAAATGACAAAGAGAAGCTGGTTGAGAACAAAGGGATGCAAAAAGTAAGAGAGGAGCTGAGCAAGAGCAGGATAAAGCTTCTATAGTCAAAACAGCATCGTGTAGCTGACACTGGACTGGATTTGTAGGTTGATGATACTTTCAGCTGGAGTTTTTTCATGTTATGTTGAGATAAGATAAGACAAGATAAGATAAGCCTTAATTAATCCCACAGCAGGGAAATGTGCAGTGTTGCAGCTGCAAAGGTTATTGTGCAAAAATGTTGGGACATAAAGAGAAAAATACAAATAAACAAGACGTATACATCGGTCCTGTTGATACGGTACAGACTGTTCCACATGTAGAAAGTCAGATATGACACAGATTCCTCTGAATGTGGAAAACACTGATATTACAAAGGATTATTTTATACATACAAAACATTAACTAGTCCATGTATAGAAAATACTGATAATAAAAATACTGATATTACACAAGTTCTATTGATATTAAATTCTGACATGACACAGATTTCTGCACATGTTTATACTGAAATGTGCAAAAATAGACATAAAGCACAGGTTTGAATGCACTGACAATCTGTACTGATGTAAACCTGCTCAAATCACTACAAACAGTTTTAGTTTCAAGTTCTCAAGTTAAATGCCTCCAACGCATGACTACAATTATTTGGTCTTTTCATGAGACAATAGTGTTTTACAGTGTACATTAAATGTGTTTCCCCCAAAATGATCCTCCTTTATCGGACACTTAGAAAAGAAATCTCTGCTTTGTGGTGAAATGTTTGACAAAGTGTTTAATTCCTCATCATTTCCTGAGGCTTTCTGGGAGTTCGGACCGTGTGTTCTTTGGCTTACTGTGTGTGTGATCTGCAACACACGTGTTTTCTTTTCATGCTTTTCAAAGGCTGAGATAAATTTCAAGTTTGACATGTTTCGAGGAACTGAACTTGTTTATTTGGGTGGAGGAGTCCGTTTCCTGTTTCCTGTTCATTAGATTCAGTGAAGGAGTGAGCTGAAATAGTTTGTGTTTATTTGTAAACTAAAACCAAAACTCTTTTATTTGTTGGATCCCTTTCCTCAGATTTCCCCCTAAAAGCTTTTTTCCTATTTATTGTGTTTTATATTCTGGGCTCAGGTCATTTGAGGTCACCATAATTAGCACATCTGGAGAGGAGCACATCCACAACATTCACAGCTGGAGTGAATTCCCTGCTCTCCTGCTCAGAGGACGGTGTCACATCTGCATTTAACGCTGCAGGACAGTGACTCAAATTCATGCTAGTGGACAGAAAGACAGAAATAACTTGACGTGGCACACTATATCTGATTTGAGATGATTTCAAAAAGCTGAACTTGTTATTCTTATCACACATGAAGCAGGGAGTTGGTTCCTCAGTCAGCAGTGCTTATGTTTTTTTTTTTAATGTAATCAGAATTGTTGCACCACGCCTACGTACCTGGGATGCCACACTGTACTGACACACCCTGGAGTGCACGTGCATGTTGTTGATAAAGTGATTATCTGAAGCTAAAGCATGGTACTACATAGTTTTACTAAAGCATGGTATGACATAGTTTTACTAAAGCATGGTGAACAGGCTTACAGCTGCTGGTGTTTACAGTTTAAAGCTTCCATACGGTGAAAATCCATTTTAATTGTGTTTTGTGGTTGGTGTAAAATAAAAGCTGTTAGGATATGAAAATGTTTACTTCTGCTGTTCCCAGAGCTCCTTCTGTTGACTCCGAAATGTCCGAGCCACAAGCAAAACTCACTGCTGTTGGCTGCATGAGTGAACACAACAGTCTTCATGCACTGCCAGCATCGGAGTAACGTAACATCGATTAGATCAGAATAACGTGGCCAACATGGCCATCGTTACCTTTGGCTCTGATGGTCTGTCCACAGGTCAGAGCTCTGTGGAAACCAAATGCTGAGAGTCTTTTGCTATTTAGAGGTCAAGAAGGTTTTTTTTTAATGTTTTTTTAAAATTCTTTCTTTCAGCTTTGCAGCATTGCTGCACACTTTGCGTTGTTGGGTAACGGCGCTCAGGCATGTTGAGTCACACGTGTGGTGGATGTGTCGGCCTCACCCCGTTCAGGCAGACACGCGTGCCCTGACTGCAGACGGTGAGGTTTTCCTTGGCGCTTGGCTCGGGGCAGAACGGGGAGAGGCCTGAACACACGCTTTCTTTCAGACAGTCCGTCTCCTCGTCACACATCTGACCGGCCGGCTTAAACTCACAGCCCTGACCACAGCACAGGCCCTGACTCGGACTGATGGAGAGACAAGAAAGATGACGGATACACAAGAAAACTGCACATAAACAAAAAGCCAAAGCCAGAAGACAAAATCCAAACAAAGTAGTTTAGATAAGAAGCTGATAATGATGTGGTGCACCATTTCAATTAAAAATGATTAAAGTTTTTAGGGCAAAGCCTCAAAACAACACGAGAGCAAGTGTGAATTCAGATGCACTGAACAAAGAAAACAAGTACATTTTCCATCATACATTCTGTACACACCCTTTGATGGTATGTATATGTTTGTACCTGCAGGCTTTAGCAGGCTTGAGGCGACACTGGACTCCTACAGGCTCTTTAGCGCTGTAGCAGCAGGGGTCTTTGTCGCTGTGACCGACATCGCACTCCTCACCTTCCTCCACAATCTGGTTTCCACAGATGGGCTGATCGCTGACTGACCCAAACACACAGACATGCAGATTATTCACAGTGACCGATGCGCAGCGTAAACTTTGGCCCAAACTCTGCTGTCCGACATTCGCCCCTCACCCACGAAGCAGTCGTCCTTCTTCAGCTTCAGGATCTCGCTGATGTGTTTGATGCTGCACGGCGAGAATTTATCGTTGTTTTCGCGCACCTCATCGGTGGCGTGAGGAAACATCAGGTACCTGCCTTTGCCGCCGCTGGAGCCGAGGTTCCCGCAGTTGGCGCCTTCGTCATGCTAAAATCACAGAGACTTTCTTGTTAATTTATGTATCCTCACTCATCCGCAGACAGAAACAGCAGGAGGAAACAAACGATCTCACCAAAGCTGAAACCATTTGCTTCCATCTTGATCCCAGATGGGGGAATTAACTCCCTGTCCTGCTGATCCCAGTAGCTCGTTAAAGGTCACCAAGGACTTACCTTATCTGGGCGGACAAAAAGCCACAGTGTTGCTCTGAGGTTTAAAGTTATCTTTGTTGTATTTTCACATTTATCTTTAAAGCAGTCAAAAGATTTCACTGACGTCCCTGAAACGACGCAGGAATGCTGCGTCCCACATGTGGGACTCCAAGGACAGAACAGAGCGCTCCGATTATTCTGGAATTCATCTTCTCGGGATGTCAAGCGCTCGGATGAGTTAAGAGGCCAATGCGAAGACTTGAACATCAACATGGACGCACACTGAGGGAACAAGCCTTGATGTGGATTTCTGCATCTGCTCCTGATTAGCTTTATGGATTTAATGAGTGATAATTTTATAGACTTCACTATAACTGTCAGCTCTGGGTTTGGCAGCGGCACTGTGACACACTGCTTGAAAACAGTAGATTTATCTTGACTGCTGTTGTGATTTCTCGGTATCGTGTCGTCATTTGGAATCGCAGTGAAATGTTGATCTTCCAAAGCCGGCCTGGATCATGTTTCCATCACAGGTCCTGGTCTCCTGCCTCAGCTATTTTGTGGGCTGCACCTCAAGGGACTGAAGACTTCAGACTAAAATTAGCGATGAGTTTATCTCCATCACTGCCAAAACTATAAAAAGCGGAGAGAAAAACAAAGCTGACCGGGTTGAAAACAACACTTCTGCAGAAACGTATGTGAATATCAGCAATGCTCTTTCTTAGCTGAAGATTTTCTGCACTTGCTGTTTGCTTTTGGAAAACCTGTGGTGGTTTTACAGATGGTGCAACCACAGACACGACCTTGATGCAGTTTCAAGATAAACAACAGATTTTAAAAAATGCTTTTCTGCCTCAAGGAAAGACTTAAGTGTGTCAAATTTTATTGTCTTGAGTTTTGTTTTTTTTTACCACATTGCCCATGAAAAATGATGCAATTCATGTTTATTCGTGCAGAAAGTGTAATTACTTGTCAACTTAATTTATTGAAAGTTATTTGCCCGTCACATGAACAAGAGTCGGTTCTGGGCGAACTTACGTAGTTTAATTTATAAAATGCCTGCAGAGACTGACATAGCAGAACTAATCGGCTCAGGAACGCCTCAGAGGACTCTTTGGTCTCTGGAATAACAGAGGGCAGAGTGAAAGGAGACCGAGGAACGCTGCTGGCATTTCATTTCAGCAGTGGGCGAAAGGTTGAAGGCGTCAGCAGGCATCGCACATGGAGAGAGGTGCGACCGTTTGTGTCCCTACATGTGCCGTTGTTGTGGTCGTGGAGGAGATCGTCTGGGCCTGAATATGAAAATAACCAGAGAACAACTATAGGACGCAAAGCGAGCGACGTCAGAGCTCCTCCTGTTCCCTGATTTGAGGTCATGCAGTGAGACTGAGCCAGGACTCCCTCTAAAACCAACCAGTCAATAAAGAGACCAAGGTCTCCAATGCCCATATAAGTGAGTCATTCACTGACGATTTGTTCCAGCGCAGTACAAACAACCATGTATGCCTAGTGGGTAAATGTGACGTAAGTCTGAATATTAAATCACAGCGATTAATTATGTTATCATTTGGTAAACAGCCCACATGGTTTTCTGATTAAGTAAATGGAGTTAATGAGTCGAGGGTGAAAGTCAACAGTCATCCAAAGAATCCAAGAAAGGTACAGATTATATGAAGAAGAGCGTCCTCGTGTTTCAGGAGGACTTATTTGATCAAACTTCTACTAAACAGGCTTTTAATGAAGCAGGTATTTTGAAATTATAGAAGTAAAACCTCAGTTAACAACAGCTGCATTCAGCTGGAGAGTCTGACTGAGCCGGAACACATTCATTTGTTCTGCCCAACAGCGATGTCAGCATTTTCTTTAGTCATGAGCAATTTAATGCATTAAATCTGTAATCGGTCATTATACCAGAGGAAACATCCGTCGATATGGGGAGTTTCTGACCCGTGAGTACCCGATGACTCCTCGGACCACGCCCGCCTTTCATTCTGATCTCGATTACAAAGTTTCGTAACTGTATCTTGTGACGCTATTACGGTGATGAAATCTCTCCACAGACATTTAATCAAAATCACCTTTGATAGGTGTCTCCACAACCACTTCAGTGATTGTTAAACCACAGCCTCTCGTTTTGAGGTTCTATGCATGTTAATACCAGAAATCGGGCGGTCCAGGGCTGTACGCCAACAACAACAACAACATCATACCCTGTCAATGTGACAGTTTGTCTCATGTAGGTATAAAAAAGTAAACACAACTCGGTTCAGTCGGACAAATCTCGTAGCGTCACCAGAAATTTGGGTGTCGGACTGTTGAGGCAAACCTCCTGATTGACCAGTCAGTCTATGCTCCACACTCCACCGATGGTTGTGAGATCTGAGAAGTGACTGACAGAATTAGATCGAGTATCCGAGCCACACAGAGAGTTTCCACATCAAACCGAGCCAGTTGAAGAAGGTAAACATCTGATTCTGATGCATTCTGATCGCCTACATTTGGAACATTGCTGGACTCTTCCGATTAGCCTGATGTGACCACAACCCGGTCCTAGATAAGCAAAGAAACCCAATGTTTTCCAATGACTAACAATAGAAGAGCCTCTGATTGGTATATTTTAAACCAAACCACAATCATTTGCTAAACCTCACCAAGCAGTTTTGTCGCCTAACGAAACAGAGACTGAAAACAAGAAGTCTAAAGCTTCTCTGGTGGATTTATGCCAACGCCAACCTTTCCTCATCCATCTGCAAACACTCAGATATCTTGACTTCCTTTTGTTGTTTAGTTTTCATGCCTTGATGAGACAAAATGAAACCCTGACACACTATCATAAAGTGGACCATTGGGTCTATTGCAGTCTTTGTCGTGACATCGGTTTGACATGTGGAGACTTCGGAGCTGTGAAACGGCATCGTAGCTGGCTAGCTTGAGAACAAAAAACAGACTAATGAATCAGGTTTGGCTGCTGGTTAATTGTTGAAGAATTACTGAATGAATTTTCCAGTTTGGTGCTTTGCTCGGAAACTCGTCCATGTAAGAAGCATGCATGATACCCTGACAATGAGACATCTTCATCAATGCAGCCTTCATCATGTTGTTAATAACATCTGAGGACTTTGTGGAAAGAGTCTGCAGCAGCACAGACAACATCTACACAAAGGTTGACCTTTTCCATTTGATGTTGCAGTATAAGTACCAGTTGTGATTATAGTTGTTATAGATGCATGCATGTGTTGCAATCTTCTTGTCATTGCAGGCATTATGTGAACTAATGATCTGGAGATACATCGGAGTGAATCTCTGGGTGTTTAGGTCGACGACTGACCGGAGATCCCAGACTGTGGCCCAGCTCATGTGCGAAGGTCAGCTGGACGTGTCGAGGAGGCAGAAACTGTCCATAGTTCTGAACTGTGACCAGACCCGTGTTCAGGGTGGACTTCTGGCTGTTACGGAACGCCGAGAGCTGTGAGCAGATTCCTCCCCAGTTACCTGAAGAACAGAGAAGCAGAAGATGAACATGGAGTTTACATCAATGACACACAGAGTCATCCATCCATCCATTATCTGTACACCGCTTAATCCTTACTCAGGTGGTGGGGGGCTGGAGTCTATCCCAGCTGACTCAGGGTGAAGGCAGGTTCACCTGGACAGGTAACCAGTCTATCACAGGGCTACACTTAGAGACAGACAACCAAGCACACTCACATTCACACCTACGGACAATTTACAATCACCAATTAACCTCAGCATGTTTCTGGACTGTGGGAGGAAGCCGGAGAACCCGGAGAGAACCCACGCTGCACGGGGAGAACATGGAGACTCCACGCAGGAAGATCCCGGGTGTCCTCACCGGGACGCCAACCGGCGACCTTCTAGCTGCGAGGCAACGATGCTAACCACTGCTCCACCTTGCAGCCCTCACACAGAGTCAATGAAAGCTAAAGTAAATATTATATCATCTGTTCGGTTTCGGTTGACGTATTCTTCCATTTAGCTCATAAAAGGTTCTGCACTGCAAGAAGGTGGTAGAAATCTAGGTTCTGATGAAGCTGACAGGTTTGAAAACGTCTCATGGTGACACAATGCAACGGGCCCAAAGGAGCTGCAGACCCAGTGAAAAGCTGCTCATCGCCTTGCAGTGCAGCATCGTTGCATAAGTGACCCTGTGCTACTGGAAAAACCTTAAACCAACAATGTTTTGCTGTTGGTATCGACCTCTGAGGCCTTGGGTCGGGGAGGCGCAGACAGACAGACCGACTGAGCTCCCCTAGTTTCACATCAAAGCCTGTCCAGCCGTTTGGCCTCCAATCGTCTCCTCTGCCTCCAAGTTTACATAATGTCCCTGAAAATGGTTCCTACAATCACAAACAGCTGGCCGTGTTCACGTGGACGGATGGCTGTGCAGTAACATCACACTTCAGCTGAGCAGCCAGACGGCCAGCCTCACAGAACCCAGTGCTATTGGTCAAACTGAGCACCTATGACATGGCGGCTGAGCACGACTCACAGGTTAAAATAAGACTGACTTCAATCCTTCAAAGGCCACACTGACACAATAGTGAACCTCAGAGAATTCAAACCTCCTGAAGCTCTATTTAAAGCTCTAGAGATCTACAAGCAAGCAACTTTATTTAGAAAGCACCTTATCAGACACACAGAAGTTATTCAAAAAGGCTTCACAGGCAAATGTAAGAGAAAAATTAAAAAACATAAAATATGTGAGAAATAAAAATCTAAAAAGTGCAGACAAGTGAGTTTAAGGAATAATTAGAACTGACTGACTAAAACAGATGCAGAAAGACAAGTGACCAGAGCATTAAAGGCAAGAATAAAGTGTTCAAAAAAACAGAGAAATCAGGTGAATAACAGTTCAGGCAGTTCAGACCAGACTCTGTAATAACCCTGATTACTGACAAGCAGCAGAATAAACTACAGTCTACAGCTTACTATTACAAATGGCTCCATTTGGGAAAAATCTAAAGCAGAACTGGTTCCAGCAGCATGATGACTAAACACCAGTTCATCTTGTCTGGTCTGAACTCTGGGCTCCACTAACTGACCTGCAGACCTGAGAGAGCTTCCAGCAAACATATCTCTGACAGAACATTCAGAGATTTATAGACAATAAGTAAGACTTTAAATTCAGTTCTGTATTTACCTGGAAGTCAGTGTAAGAATCGGATCAATGTGTTCTGTCTTCTTGGTATTTGTTGCCAGTATTCCAGCAGCAGCATTTTGAATGGGTTGCAGATGTCTGCAGGTCTAATTGCAGACTGCATTCCAGTGATAGACTCTACAGGTAATAGAAGCATGAATGAGTTTTTCTATGAGATAAAATTCCTCAGTTTGTTTAAGAAACCAGAATGAGGATTGAGTCACAGTTCAATGTTACTGCTAAAATGTGGATCCTTATTAATGATCACGCTGCTATTCTTGACCAGGGAGTTCGTCAGCCATCTTTCTTTAATGCCAAATAAGATTATTTCAGTCTTGTCTTTATTTAAGTTCTTTAAGACAAAGACAAAGTAAGTCTATAAGTCAATCGGTGTGCTAGATAGATTAGAGCGTCGTCTGCGTAACTATGTTAAGCACCTACAGATTAAAGACAAGGGGCCCAAGAGGAGGTCCTTGTGGGACCCCATACATCATTGGTCAAATTAATAATTACTAATACTCACTATAGATTCCCTGCTCAGTAAGTGTGATCTAAACCACCAGAAAAGTCACATTTTCGCGTTGATCTAGGAGTGGTTCACGATCCACGGAGTCAAATGGACTTCCTTGAATCATCATTCATGCATTTATAATCTTCTTGAGAGCAGTTTCAGTGACATAAGTCTTTCAGTCGAGGAGTTACTCCCATGTGTCCCCCACCCCCCGTCTCCTCATTGGTTCCCTCCTTTTTTGTGCCCATGTGTTCAGGTTGGAGGTCCCGGCAGTCACGTGAGCTTTATGTAACACCTCTTACACAATTTGGTTAGCAGCACCAATCTGGTTGGGAGGCTGAAGCCTGCGAGGTGCAGATCTGCTGCAGATATTCAGAGAAACCTGAGTTCACCAGGTGTCACTGAGGACTGTGGGAACCGGTCGCGGGCATCTGGATCCACGACCAACATGTTTTTGTTAGACGGTGGGCGTAAGAGTGACGTCCAGGAACAGTCAGGGACAATTAGAGGTTAAAAAACAGAGAAGCTTCCTATCTCTGCTGCTGCAGAAACAAAGAGGGTACTGTAGGAGCAAAGGCAACGAGGCCACCTGCCAACACGTGAAGGAGGCTGGGAACCACCACGCATGAACCTGACACTCGTTTATCACACGAGTGCTTTTGTCAGACATGAGAGAGCAAAGTGAGATTTTTAAGGCCGAGATGAAATCCCAGCTGCCGAGGCTCCGCTGATCAAGAATTCTGGATGCATTTCAGCAGCGCTCCCCGCTTTTGACCTGAAATGGCCCCCCTGATGGGTCTATTCAAGGAGCTGGATTTCCTAGAAAGAGTGTTACTTTGGAGGGCTGTGGTTTTTGGCAGCGACAGCAGAGAAGGGCTGCGATTCGGTCCCCTCCTCCTTCTCGTGTTCGCCACAGAAAGGAGCCCCAATGAAAGGCTCCTATTATTAGCCCGCTGGATCAACAAAGTCCGGAAACAAACAATCCTCTGGATCACTTGCACCTAATGCACACACACTCAGGAGGCAGCACGCATGCATTTACTGTACGTATATATACACTCACCTACTACATAAAAATAGATTTGCTCACTCAGTATCAATGAACTACTCCTGCTCCTCCACATGGCTTCCACATGAGCAGACAATAGTAAAGGGGCAGTGTTTCCTTGGATATGTATGTGGGAGGAGCTGAAGTTTCCAAATAACACCTTTAACAGCAAAAACAGACACAGCGAGCTGTGATTACTCATAACCGCAGCCGGAGTTCCCAGAAAACGCCAGCGGAGCTTCTAACACCTGAAGTACTGTAAATAATCTGAATGCATCCGGTGACGTTTGTGCAGAGTTCAACGACCTCCTGCTTGCAAATCTGAATGGGGTTTATTCATGATGTTGTGAGGCCAGTTTGACCTCTACATTGCTGAAGGACAAAAGACTTCATCGGTCTAATTCAACCCGAGTCTTACGCCCTGATCTCAGTAATGTTGGTGTAACTATAATTACACTCACTGATTTTATTGGTCCAATGTTGCAGCAACATCAGAAGCAACAAGAATCTAAGTTGATCAGAGAGAGACAAATAACTCTGACATCACAAATTTAAAAGTAGATGTAACGTTTCAATCATAATCTTTGTTGATTTACGACTGAAAGCTTGATTTAGCATTTTTTAGATGCAGTACAGACAGACAGGAATAATCATAAATAGAGTCCTTTTGGCATTGATCCTAAACACTCAGCCGTCTGGTCATCACCAATTTTATTCTGCATGTCACTTAAATATTTCAGATTTTTACTGTCATTTTATAGATTTCCCCTGTGTTGTTAAATTACACACAAGATCTTGTAAAATGACTGAAAATTAATCTACACATAGAAGGTCAAAACAACAACAACAAAAAGACCAAAAACAGCATAATTTCTACATCAAAAATCTTTTTTTTTTTAAACAGCGGTTTTTATTCTCTGACAACATTTGACCATAAAATTATAACAATTTTTAATTTATTTAAATCAGGAAAAAAATAGTTTACAGATATTTGCTGTTGTTTTTGAATATTACAGCATTCCACTGTGTTTTTAATGCATTTTTTTTCTGGCTATAGAATTGTCATTCATTCATTCACATTGGTTTTTATAGTGCATTAAAATAAAGAAGAAGAAAAACTGTAAGAAAACTACAAAAACTTGAATAAATCAAACATTTTCTGGTGGCAAACTGCATCTTTAATATTATTCAGGATTTGCAATTTAAAGTATTTCAGAAAAAAACACATTCAGGTACATAATATATCATCAGCTGTGGTGCCAAAAATAATGTAAAATTTTTAAAAAAAATCTCTGGAAAATCCAATACTTTCCCATCATTAGAACACATGTTCTAGTCTTAACTTTACCTGAGATCAACTGGATCTGATTTTAGAAATATATTTACAGTATTAAACTTCAACAAAAAATAATTTTCTGCTACAGAGAAAATAAAATATTCGTGAAATGATATTTGTATGAATTTCAACATTTTTTAATGTCAGAAAAACCTCTTTAAAAATGACTTTTTATGGTTATTCATGGCCTACTTTTCTGACTTTATTGATACTTTATTGAATTTCAGAAATATGAAATATCTCCAAAACAGTAAGGAAAAACTCCACAAACTTCTAGTTTATAGTTTAATTATAATGTAGGAGGACTGAGGAGTAATAAACATGACTGCTGCTGCTCATGGTTTGTGACTAATCAACTGATGAGCTAAACTCTACCATGTTTGACTCTTATTGCGTGGTTCCTACATCACGGTTTTTGGTTGTGTTCTTCTACACGTTGTGTGTGACCATTTTTGCTCATTTTCTTGTGTTTTGTCAGTTTCCACGTGTTTCCTGTCGCTGCGGTGCGTACAGGGCCTCCGTAAAACACTCCTCAACATATTGTGTGGAAAATTACTGTCTGTTCCTCAATTAGTCTCAGAAGAAGGAGGAATTTTCCTGGTTTGAACGCCTGAGCTGAGTGAGACGTCCGGGCCCCAACCCCCCATCCTGCCCCATGTATGAACACACAACATGGAGGGCGGCTGAGAGGAGGAGCTTCAGCGTGGGATGGGGGTTGTGTGTGCACGTCTACATGTGTGTGCACGGCGCTGGAGCTGCAGGAAGCATCGGGGTCTTTGAGTTTATGGCGCCGTGGACAAAGGCCCTCCGTTACCCAAGAGCACTAATAAAGAGCTGTAAGTGGGTTGTGCAGATACAGAGCGCATCTGTCTGTGCAGGTCAGACATGATCCACTCTGTCAGGTCACATGAGCCTGGAAAGTCACAACAATGTCACCGAAGCCACCATGAATCCACAATGTGTGTGTGTGTGTGTGTGTGTGTGTGTTTCTCACGTGAGGTGTCGCCATGGCGATCATGCCGAGGAATGCAGTCACAATCCTCACTAAGACGTCTGGGAGTGTTGTGTGTCAAAGGTTCACCGAGCCCTAATCACATGTCATTGTGGTGGTCTGCTCTCACGCCCCTCAGTTTAGCCAATCAAACGCTGCGACGGGACAGTGTCATAGAGACAAGCAGGAAGAGCCTCCCACCACAACAACGCCCGCATACGTGTCCGACGTCCTCCAGCACAACAACAGAGTCTGTTAGCAGAGCTAGCTGATGCTGGGACAAGTCCCACTGTTTTCTGTTCTGTTCCAGGTCATGTTGAGTTTTCAGGTCACTGAAGGTTAATCGACACTAAAAATGAGTTTTTCTGTGATTTGTTTTCCCTTTGTTTTGGTAAATTTCTCAGAAAAGTCACAGAATAAAGTAAATTTACACGTTAACCCCTAAAAACAGAGAAAAACTGTCAATCATGTAAACATCAACGTTGGTGTTTTTACAAATGTTTTTATTTGTTTGTTTTAAAACTGAAACAAAAGACATGTAGATTATTGTTATTATTATTTTTTTAGAGGTAAATTATTTTTTTTTAACTCTTATTTGACAAATGTTCCCTGTTTTGTTAAATTACAGATAATAGCCAGAAAAATAACAGAAAAAAGTCTATTTTTTAGGCTGATGAAAAAAAGTTTGCATTTTAAAAAAATTGTAGTTAATTGTTTTTTTTTTTTACAAGTTTAAATAAAATGATTATTTATTATTTCTTCCTGTATGTAAATAATCTGAAAAACTATTTTACACATAGGCAATAAAAGAAAAAAAAAATTAACATGTTGACTGTAAAAAAAAAAAAAAAAAATCCCAAAACTGTGCATAATGTGTAATGTTGTATTTTTATTTTTTATTTTTTTTTACAAATAGTAGTTTATTCTTTCACAGTGTGATCGTAAAACTAAACTGTTTACTGCATATAAAACACATAATCTGTCATTATTTTCACCATTTTTACAGACTTTTAATGTTATGATACTCCACTCTTTGTTGACTTATTTTTGGGACAAAGTTGCTGCCAAATTCATTCATTCCTTCATTCATTCATTCATTCATTCATTCATTCATTCATTCATTCATTTACCAGTTCAGGTATAGAACATATAAAATGTGTTGCCAGTCATAACTTCAGTAACATTACATTGTTTACTTGGTTGTTTGTCTCTTTTTTATTTTCTCGTTCGGTTTCTCATGACGATGATGAAACGTCGTCTGTTCTGGCGGCAGAAGAGGGGGAAGCAGATTTATATGCAAATCACTGAGGACTGGTAATTAAGGGCTCTGCTCACGTTTTGTTTTTGCGCTCTCAGACCAAAACACTGCTCGTCACTCAGCTCCGTGCACCACAACCTCATGTGATCCCAGAAAACCAAACAAGGCTTTTAGCTGCATTTCTACGGCACTCTGAGCACATTGTTGGTGCTCTGTGCTAATGAAGCACACATACAGAAGTTTTCACGCCTGTTTTGACTCTTTAAGTTTCACCTCATCGATGCACGTGTGTCGCTTTTCCTCAGATGACTCTTTTTTTTTTTTTCTTTTTATCATCAGTGTCACTACAGTTCAGCTGATTCTGCACAACCCACGACTCCTGACTCACCCCCAGTCAGGGTCAAATACTTCACACTGATCTGGAAGCTGGGAGTGTGGAGGAGTTCTGGACCTCTGGCGAGCTTTTGTCGGGTCACGCCCAGAGAGTCCAACAGAGAGTCACACAGAGATTCACACCGAGAGGCAGAGCAGCAAAACACTTCGCTTTCCAACAGTCCTACGTTCTAACACGAGCTGACTCGTATCCATTTCGTGTTTTTGTTATCCTGCCGTTCGTTCTTTACATTTTTTTCTGCTGTCAAAACATTTTACATTAATTCATAATGCTGCAGGCATCAAGTTAGAAGATCCTGCAGGATCATTTACTAGCTACACATATTCTCATGTCCATGAGCTAAAGGCCTGTTTTGCAATGCTGCAGGTGTATATTTTCACTAAATATATATATTTTGTTATTTGCAGAGTTAAAGTTATTTTGAGGATAAGATAAGGGTAAACTAATAGTCTGACCTTTACTTTTTGTTCATTTAATTTACAGCCAACTACAGCAATTAGCTTAGCATAAACAGAGCCAGCCAGCAGCCATAAAGCTGATTAACACACTTTAGTTTGTTTAATGAGTCTAACAACCTGAAATGTAAACGTCTTCGCAGTAATTTATGTGATGAACCAGTTCTCGGCCAGTGCGGTTACTTCCTGGAGTCTGTGCTGGTTGCCTGGCAACCTCATAGCAACTACAGTCAGCGTCCGTGGCAACAATCTGGCACGGAGGAACGGGAGCAGATATGAAAGTGGTGTTACTTAAACTCACTTGTGGGAGACATAAAATGAGTGTTTCCCAAACAGTTTGAGGGATTCTTTCGAGGTTAAAGAGTCAACAGTTCAGATCGCTGCTCGGATGTTATGAGGGACAGAATCAGGACAAAGGAGCTCCTCACACAGATGTTTGACAAGACGGGAGCGTAGGAGCTTCACCGTTTAACGTCCAACAGTACACGGTCCGGTGCTGGACCTCCATCAGACCGTCTGGTAGAAACAGATCTGAAACAGGGAGTAACGTACCCCACATACTGCAGGAAGGCAGGAATTACAAAACATCATCGCTGAGCGACAAATTTCACTAACATGCAGAAAATAAGCATCAGGATCAAGTAAGAACCAAATCCGACGATGCTAATGTGTAAAACCCTCAAAGGCCGACACAGCGTCCGCAAAGAAAAACCTCAAAAAACCTGCAACTGCTATGAAGTAATGTCCCAGAATGCACAAACTAACCCTGTAGCGCAGGGTTGGGCAATCCTGGTCCTGGAGGGCCCCAATCCTGCATGTTCTAGATGTGTCCCTCTCCCAACACACCTGATTCAAATGATCAGGATCGTTATCAGGCTTCTGCAGAGCTTGATGATGAGCTGATCATTTGAATCAGGTGCATTAGAAGAGGGAAACATTTAAAACATGCAGGATTGTGGCCCTCAAGGACCAGGATTGGACACTCCTGCTGTAGCGCCAAGTCTGTCATATTTGATATGTGAGTTTTTGAGACTTTACATCATCAGTGTGATGTTTTTTTGTCTGAAAAACCTGATGCATACGATCAGACACATTCAGTGCACAGATAATCCACCATGGATCGTCATTCATGCAGCAAAAATCACACAAATTAAACCTTATATATGAAAATTACTTCTTTTTTTTCTCTTTTTTTTTAATTGTCAGAAGGTTCAATAAACACTCCATTTTTAAAAAAAAATTGAATATTCAATGATCAGTGATTTCATGGTTTACAGGGTTCAGCAGATAACACCTCAATCATATATTTACTCCAGACGCTCACCAGTACAGGATATTTTTAGTTGTATTTTCACATTCAAATGCTAAAAAGAGATAGTAGATGCCAAGATTAAAGGTGCATTTTAAATTCATGTTGAACGTCTGCAGTTCACAGTCGTGTTTGTTACTAGATGCTGATAGTTAATTTACAGATAAGTAGAGATGCAGTTAATCAACCATCTCTATGAATAGAGTCTATTATTGGAAAATCTAGTTACAGTTTTAGACAATGAACCTCGTATGTTTCTGGTTTAAACAGTAATGAACTATTTAAATAAATTCATCTGTAACGCTGTGAAATCACTGCAGATTACTGGTGACACAGCATTTTACTGTAAATGTACTTTTCCTTTTCCCAGAGCAGCCAGTTGTTCAGCTGCATTTTGACTTCATAAAACAGAAAGTAAAGCCGTCCAGTCAGACGCTTCTCTGATGGTGATTCAGGACAAAGTCTTCAAAGTTTTTAGACAGTTTTAATTAGATTAGATGAAAAACAGCCTTTACGTCTTTGTGGCCGCTGATATGACAGTGATTGTTCTCTCCTCAGTAATTGCGATGGAGGTTTAATCCTGTCTGTGCATAACAGCTGCTCGGGGATGTTACCACGATGGTTGGCGAGCGGTGAAACTTTCGTAACAGTCTCAGGGCAGATATGAGGGATTGAGGTCACGTAAGGAATCAGCTCAGGCTGTCCTCATTAGACCTGCTGTTGTGTTGCAGTGTGAGTGTCGAGCAACGCAGCTGTTTCTATGAGGGGTGTTTCTAGTGTGGAGAAAACAAACCTCCTGTTGAATCTCTTCTGCAGTCAAACCGTACAAACCACTGACCTCCTAACCACTGACCGTCTGTGACTCCACCGGGACTCTGACTCACCGGCTTTGCCCTCCCAGGCGAGGCCCAGCACGCCGCTGTAGTCCCGGTTGGTCAGCAGGTAGGACAGGCAGAAGTTCCCCCAGTTGTTCTCCGAGAACAGACTGAGCAGCTTCTCCGGGCCGATGAACAGAGGATTCAGAGGATCGTTCTGGTCCTCCTCCGTCATCACCTGCAGCCACAACAGAAGCGCTGAGTTCAGACACAATCAGACTCCTCAGCAACTCTGGAAACGGGTTTTAAGTCATTTAAACTCATTTCAAGGCCAAAAGTTTGTCCAGCTTTGATTTTCAGTCGTGGAAAAAACCTGAGATTAATGTATTAACTGTCTGAACCTGTTTTATTTTAAACTGCTGTCACATTTAGACTCACTTGGAGCTCATTTCTCACTGCAACACAAAGTCCTGCACCTCCGTGGAAACACAACAACCAGAGATGTCTTCTGTGCAGCGACACTTTTAGAATGACACAAATCATAAAAAGTTTTGTTTCCACGCTCGTCTGCTCTCTGCTCCGTGTGAAGTTCAGCCCAAAAGTCCCAGAACTGTTCATCACATCTAAAGCGCTCGTGGCTGCAGGACTGAACAGAGACGTGCAGAAGTTTTTGTATTTTACAGAACCTGGCTGAAGCAAAGGGTTTCATTTTAGAGAGTTTTTAAATGAGCAGTGGAATAATGTCATGATTTCACACTTAGTTTTGGTTCATTTTCTAAATAGAGTGGAGCATCACAGATCAGTATTCATGAATGCATTTAGAGTGTTCATATTTATATGAGAGTAATATTCATGTATATTCATATTCATGGCTCTGTAAGTCTGTATACGCCATTTTTCTTTCTGCTGCTTAACAAAGTTTGAGGAAGAATCAGAAAACATACATTCCCAACAGGTTCAACTGAAAATAACAACTGCTATTGTCATGTTATGAATCTGTCGGTTGTTTTTTCAACCAGTTTATTCGTCGTTTTGACTCCAAAGCGTCAAAAAATAGTAAAAAAATATTGATAAAGACGACTCTATACGTCCTGTTTCGTCCATATTAAACTGAAGAGATAAAAAACACATAAATGAAGAAGCCAAACTGTTCATCTTCAAAACAGACCAGTGGAAAAATGAATCAGAGCCACAGAGGGTTCATGAAGAGGATTCTTTCATTTTGGCAGAAGCACTTCACCGTTTCTTCTGACGGTGATTTCGTCGTGTGTATTGAAGCATCATGATGATAACAAGGATTCAGATTCATGGAAACATCTGGAAGTCAGATGATTCTTCCTGTTTTTATAGTTTCTTGCTCTGATAAATGATGTGATTCTGGTGATTGTTTAAAAACAACACGCCTTTCAAACCCACTGGCAGGTTCTGGGGCTCAGAAAGTTAACCCAGTTATGTTAAGAAGGAGGTCATCACATGCTGTTGAATGAAACGTGTTCATGCCACATCCAGGATTACCGGCTGCACTCAGCTATCAGAGGTCTGCATCTAAAGCGCCGAGAAGCTGCACAATCGTCTGGTTGTTGTAGTGAGCGGGAAGCTTACTCTGAGGGATTTGACTTTGAAGTTGATCAACTTGACTCCGTCGAAGTCCACCTTGTTGAAGATGTCGTTCACAGCCCGAATGTAGGCGGCAACCTGAGGAAGAGACAAGAGGCAGACAGTCAGTAGCATCCTCTGTTTATGAGCTCTTAGATGCTGGTTACACAAATACGGGAGGAGGGGTTGCCAGTAGAGTAGCATTTGATTATTTTCACAATAAACTTCATACGCTGCATAAAAATGAAACAAATCGTGATCCATAAAAGTGGAGGCCGGGTAATGTGTGAGGTGAGCCGCGGGGTGTTTTCAGTGCAGTCGGTCACACTTCAAGGGAAGCACGTGCAACAGCAGTCACATGTCTGATCCATGCAGCGGGAGACGTCAGTACAGTAGAGCCGGCCGGAAAGTTTCCATATATGTAAATATTGACACCTCGAGACGCTGAAACCGGGTCAGCGTCGACGGACAATAGCGTTTCGTCTGTTTACACTCACAGATCACATCGCGGCATCACTTACGAAATACCTTCTCACCCGGTGCAACAAAGGCCTGGCGCTGACCCAGGGACAACAACAACTGTGCACGAGGTGGAAAGAATCCGCCGAGGGCCAGAGGAGGAGGTGAGAGGACGAAGGCCAGCGAGAGAAACAGTGTGACCGCAAGAGGACAAAAAAAACAGCCAAGGACACCGACCCGATGAGTAACCTTACTCTGAAGAGATTTAACTAAAGAAATGTAAAACTGATTCCAGGAAACACCAATAATTTGTCTCAAACTGGAGCTGATTTAGATGCTGAGACCATGAACGATTAAATCAGATGAAACATCTGCTCTCAGATGTGGAACGCTGAAGAAAACAGTTTGTTTGGTTCTGGTGTAGAGGAACAGGACGGCTACTTCTGTCCTCAGATTATTATTGTTATGTAGCTAAAGTCAACATCAGGACAGCATCTCACGTGACCTCCGACCTCAGTGACGAAACCTGTGTTCAGACAGACTTCAGCACAGACGCTGAAACCTCTCCTGTGTTACTTATTGCACTGAAGCAACGCATCAGCAGCTTCTAACCCAGAACGTCAGCGCTGGTCAGACATCACTAGATAGTTTAACTCTCTGAACTCCGAGTGGTTTTTACTCACCGTGGGCTCATTCTTCACTGCGATATAAAACCATGCAGCTCTACGGAAACAGTAACAGCATGACTACAAGCAGAGGAAACCTGAAGCTGTTCTCATTGCAGTGTGACGCAGTTAGAAAGCGTTAAATCATCAAAAAGAAAAAAACTAATATGTAATTTCCTTTATAGTTTTTTTGCTTTTTTAACAAAAATTGGGGGAAAAAAATTCATTTGTGTGCACAAGATGTTTCCAAATGCTCACAGTGACTCCAGATACTATAGATAGTTTAATTATTACTACACCTGTCTCCTTTCTGCTTTATGTAAACACAGCCTGCAGTTCAACCCCAAGGTTCCTGAATTTTTATTACGTGTTTGGTGGTTGCAGCTAAGTCAGAAATGGCTTCTCGTTTGCCTTGAAATGTGCAGAATTTTTTAGTTTTTTACAGAATGTTCTTAGTGCAAACCATTTGTTTTTGTCATTTTTAAAATAAGACATTTAGAATAAAGTGATTTTTATTAAATATCACAGTTTTAAGATGAGATTTGGTGAATTGTTTTAATTGTTTTGATTGAACTGGAGGTCACACCTGATAAGAACCAGCAGAAAGGGGAAAATATGATTATTTTTTCTGTTTTTCTGTTTTTTAACTTCAATTAATGCCATAATGTCGGCATTAAAAAACACTTTTAAACACATCAGCGGGTTTTGGGGGTTCAGAGGTTAAAAGCAGAAACCCTGATTTCCGCTTTACGTCTGTGAGCTCAGAGTTTGCTGGAGCTGTGAAGACATTCCTCCATGAATGAACCGGTGGTTTCCTACATGCTGGTCGCTCCTCGGTGAAGGCCTCTGATGAGGTCAGAGGTCAAGAGCGCAGGACAAAGGGTTAGAAGAAAAGAAAGGAGTTGGATATTTTAGATGCTATAAAGCACCTCAGAGTTCACAGAGTGCAACAAATGCCAGAAAGATTTCACTCAATCTCCAAATCAGGTTGTGTTTGAGCACATTTTCTCAACACCTCCTCCACCATCCATTAAACCTCTACGCTCCAGCTTGACGTTGCAGCTCTGCATTCGAAGGTGAATCCTGCAGCAACAGAACAAGAGCTGAGGGCTCCTGCTTGTTCTGTGGTTCTGGTCTCTACACCTGGCACAGAGCCTCATGTGACCGTACGACTGGGAGAGCAACAGATCCGGCCATGTGCCGCGCCGTGACAGCTGTAAGCATCTGTGCATCGCCGGGCTTCATTCAGCCCCACAGTGGCAACAGCTTGCTCTTTCATTTAGCATTGTTGAATATGTCAGCGGCAAATAATGCTGCAAAACAAAACGCTCTCCTTTTGAATGATTTGTTCAAAACAAGACAAAAGAAGTTTTAATCATCACCAAAGTCCTGCCTCGGAACACCGAAAAAGCCTCTTTAACGGGAGATTAAAGTAAAAATCCTGAAATCATTTGAATGCAGACACAAACTGATGTCAAAAAACACTTTAGTTAAATAAATCAGCCAGTTTTAAACCACCGTACATCAGTATTTAAAGCCCTTTGGTCTCAGTTAACCCTCTGAACCCAACAGAAAAACTACACCGATTATCAAAGCCAGAAACTGTAAACACAGAAAGAATGATGGTGTTTTAAAAAGAAACCATCTATCCATCCTCTCTACACCTTCATCATCACTAGGGTCATGGGGGGCGGAGCCTATCCCAGCTGACTCAGGATGAAGGCAGGTTCACCTGGACAGGTAACCAGTCTATCACAGGGCTACACTTAGAGACAGACAACCAAGCACACTCACATTCACACCTACGGACAATTTACAATCACCAATTAACCTCAGCATGTTTCTGGACTGTGGGAGGAAGCCGGAGAACCCGGAGAGAACCCACGCTGCACGGGGAGAACATGGAGACTCCACGCAGAAAGATCCCGGGTGTCCTCACCGGGACGTGAACCAGCGACGATGCTAACCACTGATCCACCTGCAGCCCAAACAGTAACTAAATTGTGATATTTTATCACTTTAGTCCACATAAATTGTTCGATCTAACCAAAAAACAACAAACTCTCTGCTCTCTGATGCAGCTGTGAAGCTACTGTTGGCTTCAATACAACCGTGACAAAAAATCAGGAACTTTTCAGCTGAACTGCAGGATGTGTTTAAACAGAACAAAGAGGAGACGACAGTGAGAACAAATTAAAAATGTAAGAAATAAATAACCTATAGTATGTAAAGTCACCTCATTTGTTGTGGACACATGAAACACATCAGACATGGTAAATCCAAGTTATTTCCATTTTTGTAAAATGAAAAATCCAAGAAAATCTACTTAACCCTGTTCAGGACTTTTATACGTAGAAGGTCTTTCTGGGTCCATTGGACCTCAAGAAGGAATACGTGCAAAGTATTTGTCAGTATTCATTATAAACTTTTATACGATGTTAAATAAGTATATATAGTTGACGTATTTTTGGTTCCAAATGACAAATGTCCCTCTTTTTATATTTAAAAAAAAATAAATTCTTCAAAAATAAAAAAAAGAGACCAAAGTCCTGAATAGAGTAAAATTTTTGTCTCTTTTATGATTCATGGACGTATAACTCTGTTCTTGTTCTCTCTACTTCTAGTCATGGCTGCACTGCTTCAACAGAGGACCAGGACTTATTGAAGTTCAAAATGAGGCCACAGAGAGTAAAAATGGTCCAGAGATAAAAACTAAAACTTGTTTGGGGTCAGTTTGGTGCCAAACGGCGCTCGATATATTTTGAAATCTATTCAGTTTTGGGTAAACAAATGAAACCATCCAACTCTGTTTGATTAAGATTAGATTGAAGTGTCCAGATTCAGGCCAGGTGAACTTTTATTACCTAAAATCCGGACAAAGAATTCAGGCAAAGGTCCGTAAACAAAGCAGCATGTAAGAAAAGTGCGCTGGTATCTGATGCTCCAGCTGGATGTTCCATTACAGGAGACACGCTCCGGCGAACACTGTGTTCCCTCAAACATGTGCTGCGTGTTTCACCCTGAAGCTGCTCAGGCTCCTCATTGTGTGGACAAAAATAGGACAAAGGCTCAGAACTTACAGTTCTGCTTCTTGGACTCTATCTTTAGCTGGAAAACTGTTCTTTAACATTTTGTCTTCTTAACCTTTGTGACCGTTGATTACATTTCTAATATCTGAAAGTTATATAACGGCGAAGAAGCTGTTAGGAGCAGATGAAGTGAAGCTGAGAGAGTTTCTGAGCAGATCACCTGAGCCACAACCGCTTCCACAGACTTGAACCTCTTGTAGTAGAGGTGGTCAGCGTGGAGGTGCAGCAGGCAGCTGGTCTTTGACTCATCCAAAGTTCTCCTCGAGCGGCTCACTGGTGCCTCCTGTGGATCAGAACCCAGAGACAGGAAGAAGAAAGACACTGATGGGACTGATGGTACGGTCTACATCACAGGTGCCCAATCCTGGTCCTTGAGAGCCCCTATCCAGCATGTTTTAGATGTTTCCTTCTTCCAACACACCTGATTCAAATGATCAGCTCATCATCAAGCTCTGCAGAAGCCTGATACCATCCTGATCATGTGAATCAGGTGTGTTGGAAGAGGGACACATCTAAAACATGCTGGATAGGGGCTCTCAAGGACCAGGATTGGGCACCCCTGGCCTACATGAAGCACCTTTAGGGAACAGTTTGTCTTTTTGTGAAGGTGAAAAACCACCAAACTCATCAGATGCAGACATTACAACACGTTCATGTTGACCCGGCGCTGGTGGATGTGTTGCAGCAAGAACGCAACTTGGACGCTGAGAAAAACATCTGCTCAGGACATTTAATGATCAAACAGTGGAAGTGATGTCCACCGGCAGGCATGCTGGAAAAAAATGGATCCATACCAACATGTCCTCACAGCTACTGTTGACAATAGGTACCGAGACCACCACCCAGTCGGTCAAGGGTCGGCAATTAGCATCGCACCCAAGGGGCAGATCAGACTAATACATGCGGCAGATGTTCATAAGGGCTGTTTTTATCATTTTGCGACGCAGTCAAGGTCGCTTGAAAAGAAGAGGCTCGACTCTCAGCAGGTCACGGCCGTGTTTTCTTGGACTTCACACAGATTCAGTCAGGATCATAACATCCCTCTGGACTTACAACCTGTCATTTGCTCCCGATGACTCAACAGGCGCAGTAAAAGAGTGAATGATCATAAAGTAGGTCAGTCAGAGCAGATGAATCACACGCATTAGCGACTGTTCTCCAAGCAGAGTTTAAGGGTTTAGGAGTTATTTGGTTATAAATAAGAGGCAGAACAGGACATTTTGAAGGTGATGACGGAAAAATAAAGCAGCACAAAGTGTGTTTTAAGTGTGTTTTTGTGTTCTCGCTGAGGTTACGTCTGGAACGTCCTACCTGATTTAGTCTGAGGTTTTGGGTGAGGACGTTCAGATGTTCTGCACCGCAGAACCCGTCAGGGCCAGACGTCATGTTGGGCAGGACTGAAAAACAAACAGGAACACAGATTTATAGACAAACATGTTTCATCTACTTAGTCGATTAATTAACACAGTCAGGAACAGTTTTGCATTTCAAGGTGTCTTCATCATGTTCATAGTCTCCAATAATCATAAATAGTTAAACAAACATGAAGTTGGAGCAATCAGCTGTTCTCCAGTTATTAACGACAGCTGATCTTCTACACTGTAAAAAAAAAAACAACCTGTAAAAAACTAAAAGTGTGGCAGCAAAGGTGGCACAACAAAACCCTTTAAAAATGGTGGAATATTGTAAAATCCAAAAACTGTGAAATGGCAAACGTTTAAAAAAAAAAAAGATATTTCTCAGCTGATTAATTTCATTGTAAAAAAGCAAATTATTATTTGTGAAAATGCAGATTTTTGTTGTGTAAATTAATGATAAGAATTAACAATGGTTCCCAATTTATTTTATTGTTTTCAACGAGATATCAATTGAAATTTAACAAAACAGGACAAATCTGCAAAAGAAAATCCAGAAAATGTTTCTCAAATAATGGCAAATATCTGTAAATTAATACTGTCTGTTGATTTAAATATAGTTTAAAAAATAAAACTAAACATAAGTAATTTACAGTCAAACACTGTCAAAGAATGAATCACCTTTACTAAAAATGGTGTGGAAATTATTTACATTTTTGGCCTTTTTTCAGGTCTGATATGTAAATAATTTTTTTTGTGATTTACTAGTTATTATCTGTATTTTAACAAAACAAGAAGGGTTTAACAAAACAAGAAAAGTCTGTGAAGATCATTGTTGGTGGTTAAATCATTGTTTAAAATGATGTTCGTGTGTGTTTGACCAGTTTAACCAACGATCAGGGAAGATGAGCAGCAATGAAACATGTTGTGCTTCGGAAATATTTGGAATATGTGCGAAATATTTGCAGTTCTTATCACGTAGGCGACTGTCGCAATGTTTGCCAGCACGTCAGACGATCCATAAAAACATTTTGATGAATGTTTGTGTTCAATTTGTTGTGCCTGATATCTGGTTTTATGTTTCAAGGTCTTGCAAACATGAGAGGACGAACAGCAACAGGAAGCGTCCAAGTGAAGCCAAATAAAGACAGTGGGATGTCAAGGAAATGGAATCCAGTAAAATACATCAAAATAGTACAGACAAGCTGAATTAAGTGCATGGAATAATAATATAATTTAAAAATAATAAGTGAGGGCTGCAAGGTTGCTCAGTGGTTAGCATCGTCGCCTCACAGCTAGAAGGTCGCCGGTTGGCGTCCCGGTGAGGACACCCAGGATCTTTCTGCGTGGAGTCTCCATGTTCTCCCCGTGCAGCGTGGGTTCTCTCCGGGTTCTCCGGCTTCCTCCCACAGTCCAGAAACATGCTGAGGTTAATTGGTGATTGTAAATTGTCCGTAGGTGTGAATGTGAGTGTGCTTGGTTGTCTGTCTCTAAGTGTAGCCCTGTGATAGACTGGTTACCTGTCCAGGTGAACCTGCCTTCACCCTGAGTCAGCTGGGATAGGCTCCGCCCCCCATAGTGAGGGTTAAGCGGTGTATAGATAATGGATGGATGGATGATTGCTAAAGACTACTCGTAAGGGTTTTAGACTCAATCCTACTTTAATGTGTGACGCTATTCAGTGTCAAAGGCAAACTAGTGGCAGCAAATAGATTCAACAGTTCTCTAAAAATGTATGAAAGGCATCAAGTTGAATCATTTTGCAGCACAAGAGGAAGTAGAACTGAGGTCCTCTGGTTGATGCATCATCATCCATTAAAAAGTAAAAATAAAAAAATCAGGATTGTTATCAGGCTTCTGCAGAGCTTGATGATGAGCTGATCATTTGAATCAGGTGTGTTGGAAGAAGGAAACATCTAAAACTTGCAGGATTGCGGCCCTCGAGGACCGGAGTTCGAGACCCCTGATGTAAGGGATGGTTGTTCATGTCATTAATGTGGTTCTTTGATGTACTTCAGGTCATCCATTTTTATTGGAGTTAGTTGGTTTGGTGCCAGGGAAAAGCATCATTACAGAAAATTTCATTATTGATTAACCATTCAGTCTATAAAACATCAATAAATCAGAATCAGAAACGTCCATCACAGTTCACCAAATTCTGAGTTGTCATCTTGTTAAATGTTTTTCCTTCTGAGCAACAGCCCAGAACTCTAAATATCAAATGTGTTATAATGGAGGACCCAGAAATACTGCAGATTCCTACATTTACAGTCCATTCATAAAATGTGTTTGATTTGTGGTTTGGATCTCCAGGTTTGGATCTATATTCCCCTCCTAATGACTGACTTTGTGTTTGCGTTTCTTTGACTGAAGTTGGCCTTTTTAATCTCGACACATAACTTGAGTTCATGTGCTCAAAGAGACGATTGTTTTGAAAAAGAATCTCCTAGAACAGGTTCTGTACTGAACCTGGTGACCTTCTTAAAAACGGGTCCTTAAACGACCTGTTTCTGCTCACGTTCCCTGGAGCGCCATTTATGCTGTCTACAGGAATCCTACTTTCCTTTGGAGGTTCCTTAACAAACATCTTCCTCAAAGTGTCCCTGTGGAGCTAGAACTGTTCTGCTATGGCACCAATGTGACCCATTTTACCTTCACGAGTGCATCACATGATATTGTCCACATTCCCATCAAGGTGGTCTGACACGTTGACATTTTTTCTTTCCAAAGCTTTAAAACAAGTCCATCAGTTGGACATCGGCTGCTTCCTGAGCATCACGTCGAGCGACCAGCTCTGGCAGAAGCCCCCTCACATTCTCAGACACTTTATAAATAGAGAACCTGCATTTGGAAATCGGCTCGGTGGTCTGCAGGGGCAGCGGCGGCGGCGACGGAGCGGCCTGTGGAAACACCGTGATAGCTGCCGGTTTGATTTCACTAAAACAACAACCGTGGCTGCGATTTGCAACACCTCTGGGACGTCTGCCTCGCACACACTGACGCAACGATGATGGATGTGCAGCCGGGGGAGACATTTGGTACGTTTGCATGGATTGGTCCATCGGGCTGAGCTCTAAGCGCTGCAGAATTTCACAAAAATGCAAGAGGTCAAACGGACCTGACGTTGCAACAGATCGTGTTCGGTTTACGGTGAAGGATTGTGAAGAGGCTGCACATAAACACGGACGTGATGCAAAGTAATGCTGCAGCACGTTTCGGTGGATTATTCACAAAGACTGCGGTCAGAAAACAAAATACCCCCGCTGCTTTAATGCACAGAGAAAAAAAGATCCTTGAATTCCACATTTACAGTAGAGTCACATGGCGTCGTAATCACTTTCACATGTCATTCACAGCAGCAAGGGAGCAACAGAATCAACTGCTGACCCATGAGAACTTCAAAGTGTGCTATAGAAGCACTCTGTCACCAGTTCAGCCTCCGTGGGTCGACCATGGGAGACACATGATTGGATCACACCATCCTCCCAAAGGCCTGCAGCCAATAAAAGACCTCCAGTTCACTCTATACATGGTATGAGTTGGGGGTGGGGGTAGAGGTGGAGGCCTAAACGGCAGGCGTCGACCCACTGACTGAATTATTTCCAGACCTTTTCTGCTTTCCCGCGCTCCGTCTTTCACTTTTTCACTCAGGTTGTCGATGCATCTCATTGTTTTTTTTGCAGGAGATAAATCTTGCTGATTTGCGAAGCCAAACTTGCAACCAGAGACCATGAACGGCTGAATCTGGTGATCACAGCTGCTTTCCAGCCCATAACAAACTGCTGCTGTGCAGAAAAGGACTTTCCCAGATGAAAAATCAGTGTCGCATTTCAGCCAACAGTCGCATTTCCAGCAGCTGTTGGAAACCACTTGAGCTGTGAAGCATGTTGGAGAAAACGTATTCCAACGCCTGAGGTCTTATTGAGCTCTGAGTTGAACGGCTTCATCAACACGAAATCAGAATCCCACGACTCAGTCACACTACATTTAAATCTTTATGGTGAAAACATATTTTTATCTCGTTTAGAGGTTGTTATAAACTTGGACGTGTGAAGAACAAGCTGTTAAGATATAAAGACATTTATTTCTGCCATTCTTCAAGCCCTCCTGCAACTAGATAACCTTCAAGTTTTACTGAGAATTTGAGCCACAAGCAAAGCTGCAAGAGTGAACACAAGAGGCTTCATGCACTCCCAGCGTCTGAGGAACTGAAGCAGATAACTTTTACTTTTGATGCCAGTGTCACCATTACAGCAGAAAAACCCTGGTGTGGCTAATGTGGCTAGCATTATCTTTAGCTTTGATGGTATGCCAACAGGTCAGAGCTCTGAGACTGGAACACTGAGGGACAGTCAGAGATGATGGAAACCAACAAACGAGGACTGAGTGGGTTCCTGTGTGTTCATGTTGTGCTTCACTACAGTACAAACTCAGCTGGTGTTCACATCCGTGAGCTTCTCCGTGCTCACATATTCTCCATGTTAATACAGTTCAATTTCAAATGAAGTTGTTCTCATTTACATATTTCTCTGTTTCTGTTGTCAGATCACAAAACAAGTTTAAAATCGTGACTGAATTGATTGAGATGACATGTTAACCAGCAGTCACTTCCCTCTCTCTCCAGCCCTGCTCAGCCTGATTACAGGTATTGGAGGCTGCTGTGGGGATCAGCTCACCTGCACTCAATCATCACCTCCTGCTATAAAAGCCCTGCTCATTCCACCACACCCTGCCAGACCACAGACCTTCATCCCCTGTGGTTCTGCTGGTCCCTGTTCTGTCTCCTGCCTGCTATCTCTGAGCCACTTTGACCTGAACCCCAGTGCATCAGCAATACTCTCTCCACTGGGATCCTCTCCCAGCCAGCCTGTACCTGCCACTGGTCCCCAACCTGTTTCCAGCCTGTACCTACTGGTTTAGCTTTTATATCAGGATTTCTTAGGTTTTCCTCTTTGTTCTCAGTCTATAGTCTGCTTGGGTTTTTGTAGTTGTGCCCCTTTGTAAATTTCCCCTCAGTTTAGTTATTGGGCTTCATATAGATTTCCATTTAATCCTATAATTCAGATAAATTCCTCTGAACCTTTCACCTGCCTGTCTGCCTAATCTGTGCCTACACCTGGGTTCCTCGACCTGTCGAGACAAGAAGCAACAGAAGGATCTGATCTCACAACTTATATCTGTGATCCATCGTTCTGCTCTGTGCTGTCCATCACAAACTTCTTCCTGAAGGAGGTGGAGAAAAGCTACAGACACTGAAACCACCTGATAGAACAGGACTAAAACCAGGTGTTTATATAGTCACAGTGAAATGGTGGCTGTAGCTCAGAGCGGGTTGTCCTCTAATCGCAAGGTTGGTAGTTTGAACCCCTGCCCCTCCACAGGGCAAGACACAAGGCCAAAAAGTTGCTCCCAATGGCAGGCAGGCACTGGTGTATGAATGTGATCTGCTCTCAGATGTACGTCGCTTTGGATAAAAGCCTCTGCTAAATGTAAATGAACCATCTGAGCTGAAAAAATTATTATATTCTGGCATATATTCAAGACATATTCTGGGGACTTGTGTAACCTTTATTAATTTCCTGAAAATACCCACAATATGGAACCTTTAGTTTGTGCTGTTGTGCAGAAATCCTCAGAGGAAATTTGAAGGCTACAAACAAAACCCTGAGTAATAAAATGTCCATTTTTAAACCAGGATATGTGGGACACCTACACTTCTGCTATAAAGTCGCTGCTTAAGTGCCTAATGAACAACACTTTGGTCATCTCTGAAGCATCCTCCCAGTTTGTCCAGACCTCACTGTGGTCGCTTTATGCGCCAAAATAACCTCAATGACAAACTCACGTCATGGAAGCTGTCTGTAGGAGTTTGTGCTCAACATTACTCATGAGCTCAGGCCCATTGCTCGGATTCACCAGTTATTCAACGACTTTCCAAAACACAAGGCCTCAAAGTTCTGTCAATTAGAATAATCTGCATGCTTGGTAGGAAGTTGTCAGCTCCTGTAGTCTATATATCCTCTTTTAACCCACATTTCCCCTCAAAAGAGCTAAAGCAGCTTTTCACTGTGTATAGTACTGGCTGGATATAAACTCAGAATGAAACGTGGTCATCATTCTGTCTTGTAACTGTATTTCGGTTATCATCATGTTTAAGCCTTTTCCTGCACTTATCAGAACGTCACTAATCCAGAACTGTTCAGGCAACACAGCTGTGTGTCCTTGAGCACCAACACAAAAAGCTGATAAATTATTTATTGCTGCAACGAGAGGTCAACCAGAGTCAGAGATAATTCTCAGGTCCTCCAAGGTTGTATGGCGATGAACGTGATGAAGACACGGATGCTTGAAGGCCAGTTTATGTGATGGTTAAACTGGATCGCTGACAGATTCTCCTCCACTCATCCAAGGTCACGGCGGCAGCAGGCTAAGCCGGGAATTCCCAACATCTCTCTCCCGACAACATTTCCAGTTCCTCCTGGAGGAGCCGAAGATTTTCACAGACCAGATAAGATGCACCTTGCAGGATTCCCCAGAGGCTGCTGCCGTATCAGCAGGGAAAATATGAGCTGCTTCCTCATTGTGAAACAAGTTTCAGTTTGAGAGAGCAATTAGGAAACGTGCAGTTAACCATAAAGAGATTTCCTGCTGTAAATAAAACGTGTGTATTTATTGCAAACGGAAATGTGGGGTTAATAGTTAGCTGTCATTCACAGCGGTGTGAAGGTCAAGAGTGCAGTTTTACTGCAGGTACAGCGCAGCTCAGGGTCTTAAGAACTGAAGGAATACTGATAAAACTACTTCGGATCGCTTGAAAATGAGTTCAGACGGGTACGGCTTGCAGCATAAATCTGTGTTCAGTAACACTGACAGAGTAAACAGTGAAAGCTGATGTACATCCTCATATTTGAGGTCAGCAAACAATACCAAGAACAACAACAAAAAATGAAAAAACAGGCCAGTAGGAGCCAAATACTAGGGAGCAAGCAGTGATGTGATACACAGAATACACGTGAGGTGTCGCTGTGTTGATACCTGGTGGTCAGGTGTACAGGTAGGTCACACGTTGTTGTCATCAGGTGTTTGACCCCAGAAGGACAAACGTTTGTGACCACTGTGTTGCCAAGACGTTGCATGTAAGTTGTGTTTGTTGCGTCGATGGAAGTAGAAAAGACTTTGTTCATGTTTATGCACGATGGATCGATAAAAAGCAGGATGCATACTTTTTATTTAACACAGCGAACAGCTAGGAAACATACTGAGGCTAAGCACATCAACCAGGTCGATTCAGTGGGTTGAACGTCTCATTAACACAAGGTAATAAACCTCCAGGACCCATCTGACGTTTTTCAGTTTTAAACCAAAAACGTGAGAAAACTGGTCTGTTTTCTAATTAACTCTGAAGGTCATATGGAACAAAGTGGAAAACCATAAATGAGAAAATGGACTCATTTTTTACTTGTTTCCAACATCAATCATCATTTTAAATTAAAGTGAGAAACCTTCACTAACCGGGTCAGATTGAAAGTCACTGAGGTTCTGAGATAAATAAAACAAGCAGCCTGTGATGGGACACTTCACAGGAAACAAACTGCACCACAAACCAAACAGACAAAATATCACAAAGTGTTGGAATAAAACAATAGTTCAGTAAATGAATAATGTCCACATAATGAACTGGATGAGAGCAACAGGAAATGCTGAAGTAACACAAGTGTCCCCTTGTAATTATGCAGCTGATGTTTTATTCAGCATCAGTTATGTCCCTTTTTTAAGAACAGTGTTTGGTTCTAAAGCGTAGCACCAGGTGACCAGGTGTCCTGATGCCACCACGCTGTACTTGTTACAAAATGGCCGCCCTTGGCTCCGTCCCGTGTCCTGAATGTCACAGACCTCATGACATCCAGCATCTCAGGGGACAGAAAAGTCCTCATACAACCTTTGTTATCTCCAGACGACAACCGCGGGAAGTGGAAATTCACAGGAGTCGAAACATTATGTCACCCCAGTCGTGTCCCGGTTTACCCCCTTTGTACGGAGGCATTGATTGTTTACTAAACATTCATCGTATGCCAAATCTGTCCCCGTTTCCTGCAGATATGCTGGCCGGTGAATGGAAAGAACAGGATGTTGTCAGTTGCTATCTAACGTAAAGTTTTGCTGCAGTTTTTTGAAAGGGGCCGAAGAAATGGCGGGAGGAAGGCGGCCACCGAGTCTGTGTGGACTTAAGGAAAAACGCAGGAGGGTTCTGGCACCGACGGCACCGTGCTTCCAGTAAAGCGCTTTCTTGGAAATAATCTAATACTAATGCAAAAATGCACGCACAACTGTGGCGCACACACTGACAGAAATGCGCACATACACACATTTTGACGTGTGACGACTGCCATCTGGCCAAGTCATAATTATGAGCCAGCTAAGGGGTTGGTTTCAATGTGTTGTCGTAGAAACTGTCTCTAAGGCCATCAAACCCTGCAGACATGCTTCTATTTTCCTTCTCAAACTCACATCCTTCTGCCCACTGCTGCTGCACTGAACCCCTTCAGCCTCCTGCTCCTCTTTCACATTCATACCTTCCTCCTTACTTTAGCCCCCCATGTGGTCCACTCCTCCTCTTACAAGAGTCACGCCATCTTGGTTTTATCTTTGCTTTGGCCATCGCCCAAGCAGAGAGGGCCTCAGCACCCCCACAGCCCTATAGGCTGAGCTGTTGCATTAGACCTCCACTCTTACCACAGGGTTCAATGACTCCTGGTCACCTTAGTTTGAACTTAACCTACAGGCTGTGGATGCTGTATGAGACAAGAGCAATGGGGATTTAACAACAGCAGAGGAGACGTGTTTGCTGCAGTTGTTTGTCTTTCTGTGAAGCTGCCAAAAGAGCCATAGATTAAAATGTTCAGGGAGCGCTAATGTAGCGAGGCATTTGTTTTTGTGCTCTTTCCCAACATCTGCAAAAGGCCAGGAAAATCAGCTGAGGTTATGGGGTGTCATTTGGATGCTTTTGGTCTCCTAATGCACAAACGTCAGGTTTGGTTTTATGATCCTGGACACTGAGGGACCATCACAAGAGAGCCAGTTAAAGCTTGAGTGCCGAGACAGCTTTGTTTAGCACAGTTAGAAAAATAGAAGTAGAAAAAATCAGTCTTACCCATGTCGTCCTCATGGTAGATTATAGAGTGATGATCTGTCGGCCTGCTGGTGTATCTGAAGGCCGGCTCTACGTGGAACGTCCCATTCTCAGTGTGGATGGTTCCCTCAAACTGACCCTGTAACACCGAGCCGTGGCAGGATGAACCGTGTTCACCTGCAACGCCGGGTCAGGAGAGATAAGGTGTCAGGGGTGGAGAGATGGAAACAGTAAAAGATAAGAAATAAATAACAGATAGAGACTGACAGAGGGAAGAGATAAGAAGGAAAGTAAAGATTAGAAATAGAAGAGGTGAGACAAAGCGATAATCGGATCACATTTAATCCACTTGTTCCTTTAAACTCTACTTGATATTTCAATAATCAGAAATGTTTCGCCACAAGGTGTTCATAGTTCAATAATTTCCCAGGTCTGGGATAAATAAAGTATTTTCTATTCTATTTATCTAGTTGTTTTGGGGAAAACACCACTTATTGTATTTCAAAGTTCTCTCCTGAGTCCCGTATCCATAGAGCCCAGTGTTGATCAGTTTGACCTAGCTGTTGTAGAGCCGTATGCAACTACATTTGGGGAAAGTTCCTAAAAAACAGCTTGTGACTGAAGGAGTTATCAGCCTTGATTTGAGTGAACTCTTCTGAATTGTCCTTTAATTTGAAGGCGGGCAAATAGTTTCCAGCCCCCACAGGGAGGCAGATATTCCCGTCACACTCACCCTGCAGAGTTCCTGAGTATATGTGGGAGAGGTCAGCCGATACGGAACCATTTTCACTGACCACCCTGAATTTTTCAGAGAATTCTGCTGTATTTTGTCTCAGAAGCAGGCGGAAAGTTCTGGAGAGAAACAAAAACACAAAGAGCTTACAGATCAAAGCAGCGCCAGGAGCTTTGTAGTGTTCTGGGAAATAAGCAGATCCATCATCAGCCGGAAAATATGGACTAATAACTAACTAATGGTTTCATTTGTTTGGGAACAAAGAGTTTGCTCAGACAGAAATTAACTGTATCTTCAACCAGACTGCTTCAGAAGCAGCTGCCCACGTTAGAGAAAAACTGAAGTCACCTGTGAAATGCAGTGAAGTCCAAATGCAGAGTGTAATCCTGGGATTGTGCAGCTCTCTTTGCTCTCAAGTGCTTCCTGTGAAGATCCTCCCTGTCGTACGAGAGGCCTTCATAATACTTAATATATGGACTGATGCTGCTCACAGCACCTGGTGAGAGGAGGACAGTTCATTTACAAGACAAGGCCGACATGTTAAACAGAGTTGTTGTTTCTACTCCATATCAGATAGAGTTCTTCTCTACAGATATCTCGACTGAATATGTGCTCGTAGTTGTCTGTTGTGCATATATGACTAAGTTTGGAGAATTCAGCATTTTTGGTTTCAGAATATTGAAATTTCAGCCATTTCCACACTATAAACAACTGGAATCAGTAAGTATTTAGGGTCATTGTAAGCTCTGCACGCACAGAAATCAGTAGTGCGACTCCACTAAAACACAAGACATTTAATAATCAAACAATAAGATAAACAGAAATATAAAAGATGCAATGTTATGTAAATGGCCTTGAAGGTTCATATTGTTCAGAGAAGCCACATAAACCCACCCATTCATAATGTTTGTGTCTATTTATGTCCCTGAAGCATTTCAAGCTGCAAAATCCGCCTATATGCAGATGACATTGTGCGATACTTACAAGATCCTAAAACGTCATTACAGGAAACATTTTGTTTAAGCAATACATGTTGCTTTATTAAAAGTGTTTTCCCATCATGGTGTGTTTGTAGGGGATCAAATAAAGCTCCTTCGTAACTATGCTATTCAAAGATTCATGTTTAAGTTGTGAGGCAAATACTTAATTTAACATTTGTTGTGCTTCACTAATCTGAAACCTGCACTGAGACTGAATGTGGCCAATGAGTGCAAAACATCTGTGAAGAAAATAGATCAAATATGTTAGAGCCTGGCTTGTAAAAAGGACAGATGATTAGAAATAAGAAGCACATTTAACTACATTATTCATTCTTCTTCTTTGAGTTCTTCCAATTTCACACTGAGCATCGTGCAGTAGAGGAAAGAGATACTTGCTTAGAAACTAAATACTGAGACGTTTTGTTCATCTGCAATCAACATATCTGTAGTTTTACATGAAATGTGTGGGCACGCATTCATGCTCTCTTTGGAAACAACAAACCCAACATTAAACACAAAGTAAATCCAGACTCTCTTTTGAGATTTTATCCTCTTGCGCCATCAAACCGAAGTCTGACTGCCCCAAACTGGTCTTCCATCGACTGTGATTCCTGTCCAGCTGGAGAAGACTTAAGAGAGGCTTGTTCTTTCCTAAACACTGTGTTATTAGTCATCGCTGCCCCTCCTGAGTGAATCTCGCTTTACTAATCCCTCAACAAGCGACTGCACCCCATTAATCATAACTAAGTGAAGCAAACATCTGCATTGATGTCAACTTTTACATGAGGGCACCTTTTTTTTTTTTTTTTTTCAGCATTCCTGAGAGGACAGGTCGAAACATGTCCGAGCCCAGAAGAGACCAGTCCGAAAGTTTTCAACACATAGTCACCCACACAGTCGCACACAGACACTAAACAGACACACACACAGCTTGTACAAACAAACCCACTCATTGAGGCTGCAGTGTGAGGAAATACCTCCTCTTCACATTCACAAACACACACACACTACCTGTGATCCACTCGTGGCAGTCGACCCACAGCAGCAGCATCCAGTAGTGTTGAACCCCCATAGTGTCCTCAGTGCTGGGTTTTTGTTTTTCTTTCCTCTTATGGTTTTTTCTTTCTCCTCCTTTCCTCACTTCTATCTCTCTTTTTCATCCCTCTCCTCTTCACCTCTCTCCCCACCAGCCTCGTACCTGTGGTCTTCCCACGCTGGAATGTGTCTAGTTAGAAGATTCAAGCCAGAACTCTGAGCACTGACACAGCGCCGAGGCATATTCAGACTTGTTTTCTAGCATGTTCGCAGTTTTCCTTTGCAGCTACAGGAAGAGTTTGCAGTAAAATCAGACAATTAACTGCTGAAACAGTGAGAGTGTCGAGGGAAAGATCAGTAGCTGTAATTTATCTCAACCTTTTGGATATAGGAATCAAGATCTAAGCATTGTGTTTTCATTTGCTTCAAAGAAGTTAGAGACGGACAAAACAACAGCTTTCCAAAACAGATATTAATGAAAAAAGTTTATTCTTGTTTCACCAAAATAGAAGCACAACATGCAAATCATCCTCTATTCTGACTTGGAGGAAAGTAAAAATATAAATCTAATTTCTATTTTGTCTGGTTGGAGTTGTGCACAAACTGGTGCCATTTCACTTCATCCACATTTCTGCAGCTGTGACTTTATATCTCTGTGATCAGACGGTGTGATCAACACTTTGACCAGTGACCTGAAAAGTCCTTAAAAATGCAGCTTTATTCAAATGACTCGATGCTACAAGACGACAGGATGAGAACTTGCTGTTGGCAGCTGGAAACCGGGTGCTTTAATCTCCACAAGTGCAGTTTGTCGTGTTAGAAATTGTTCCGGACAGCTGCGGATGGACGTCATCCGTCTAAACGTCGCCAGCTTTCACCAAACCCTCCCGGAAGACTGGGTCAACCTCATTAACTCTCGGAAGTGTGACTCGTTACTGGCTTATGATTTCTGATCTATGACCCCCGTTATTATGTCCATTATGGTGCGCAGTTGGTTGTGTCATTCTGTTGTGGAGATGTCATGTGCAGTAACAACACCTGAGGGGGTTCAGTGCCAAAGTGGGCCAAACCAGTTTACTAGTTTTAGAGAAAAATGGAGTCAAAATCTTGTGTCACTAAAAAACATCCTGGTTGTTAGAGGAGTCGTTGGGCATCCAGAGATGTTTCAACACCGTCCAGAGATAGAAGCAGCTGCTCTGTGATGACTTAAGTTTTAGTTTCGCTTTTCCTTTTGCTGCCAAAGCGGCTGTTCCACATTTTCTACTTTTGAGAAAAAAAGCTGATTCAAGGTTCGTCTTGTTAAACAGCATTAAAGAGATTAAATCATAAGGAACTAGAGATGCTTCTGAGGACCGTGGGGTAGAAACAGATGCTTGGTGGTGGTTAATTAGGTTTTTATTTTGCCTTACCGTACCTACGAGCTGAGTTTTCACAGGGCTTGAGGCTGTCCACCATCTTGAATCACAAACACCTGTAACTACCTGTGATATAACAGTCAGTGATTCCTGTGGCTCGGCCCAGTTTGCCACTAAATTGTCTCAACAAAACCATTATGGGCCAAAGTCTCATTGTGACGTTACCAGTGGGCTGATGGTTGGACCACTTTGCCACCAACTAGTCGACCATAAACACTTATCACAAAAACATAAAAGTCAACTTTGGCTTGTTTGTGGTCTGGCCCACTTTGGCACTGAACCGCTCACTTATTCCCATATCTTAAAAAGAATGGACAGAACTGAATAAAAATGCTGCGCCTATATTGTTGAATTTACTTGTTGTGCCTTTAGTGAAATACTGATGACATCATCTCAACGTGGTGATGTTTAGCAGCTCCAGGGTTTATTTATCACGTTAACATCCTCATACGTTTATGCGCTAACATGCGTGAAACTGGTAAATCTGATTTAACATTCATTATGTTGATTTCAATACTTAAAAGACTTTTAGAAAAGGCCTCCATGCTTTTATTAACACACAGCTAGACTATTGTAATTCCTTGTATTTGGGTGTAGAAGAGTCAGTTGGTTCAAATCCAGCTGCTCTTCTATGAACAAGCCAAAAACAGCAGGAACACTAATAACACTGGCTTCTCTCCTCTGACTGCTTCAGGATTCCTTTCAGGATTCTGTTGTTTGTTCTGTTGGGTTTTAAATAAGCTGGTGCAACCTCATTCAGCCAACCAGCTGCTCCTGGATGTTCTGAGACAAAAGTGGAGCCTTCGCAGTGGCTTCACCGAATCCAACAATGATCATTTTATGCAGATTTTGGAGAAATTTAAGTCACTGCTGAATTTTTTTCCTCTTTAGCAGAAAGAATCTCGACACCCTGACTTCATCCCTTATTGTGTCGTATCTTTGATTCTCATTGCTTTATTGTCTTTTAGTCAGATTTCTGACAGTGTCATGTGGGTTTCTGTTTTTTATTCCCTTTGGTTTAGCTTTTGTTGTTTTAAATGTGCTTTATAAATAAAATTGGCTTGAATATTCCATGTATGTGAGGAATTTGAAGACTTGCACCAAATTTCCCATCAATAGAAGTGAGTCAGTTGTTTTAAGGCCACTAATGTGTCCCTGTTGGTGGTCATGGATGAACAGTTGGAGGACGTCCAGTCATATGGATTCCTTCTCTGACGATCACGTCAGTCCATCCGTCATTTCTCAGTTTAAGTTTGAACCAAACCAGCAGCCCGACTGTCAGGCTGACATGATGCACAGAAGCTCAAACATTTGAACTGTGACTAATACGATCTACATCCTCACTAAAAGCCTCCCACGGGTCTGATTACGGATCTTTTTTGGTGCAAATAAAAGTGCTAAAATATAAGAAGGAAGTAATCATTGCATGACTCACGCTGTGTGAAAGGCCTCGCTCTAAACAAAGCGCCACACTTTTAGATAAGTGGAGGAACAGCAGCACCAGAAGAGGAAACGTGACTTCAGTAGAGATGAGGTCAATTAAAACAAAGGTTTTGCAGCTGAAAATAAAAAGCAGCCTCTTCTACTTCTGCACGAATAAATAGGCGCAAGTTCGCAACCGTTTGCATAACGTGACGGTTTACAGAGAATATTACATAATTCCTCCTCATGTGTGTTTCCTGTTAAGAGATAAGGCGTGCTGGGCGCCGTACGAAACATATTTACAGATGTACAGGCGTCTGTGCTGCAGAGGTTCATCGACTCTTTAACGTGTTTCTCAGACGTACAGTGAAGATGGAGAATCTGTGCAGGAAGTAGCACCACAACAAACTCCCACATGAGCGGCACTAAATCACTGATTCTACCACGAAATCACCAAACTGACAAGTTCTGTATGTTTCAGATTGAAGTAGTTGCTAAACATGTCCTACTGGGTTGTAAAACTTTTTGTCTTCATCCTGCCTTGTCGAGCGTGAGCAGTGCTGCTTCTCCTGAAGCTCCGACAAACTGCAAAGCAATGAGGAGACAAAGCTTTTAGAGATGGCTCGTATATTAGCTCGTATCCTCCGTAATGCTCACGTTGATGAAAAGCTCAGTGATTTGTGGCCTCCGCTGCCCTCACAGAACTCCTAGGAGGGTTTCCAGCAACTGTCTGACATCCAGCAGCTCCTCGTTGGAGCCAAACACATCAGATGGGATTAAGAAGGTTTCCAGTCTGCTGGACTCCAGGAGCAGCTGTGATCCAAAAAAGAAAAAGAAAAAATACAGTTAGGTGTCAACAGTGTCTCTGTTTTTGTCTTTTTTGTTTGTTTGTTTTTTGCAAAGAAGATGGCATGTTTTGTATCAGTAGTCGTTTTATAGACTTTCCCTGTTTGGGTTTCTGTACATTTGGTATTTATTAGCTACTAAAGTGACATCATGGTAAAAGCACCAGTTGGACCCGTTCAGTTTAGAAATTATACAAGACAACTGTTTTACTGTCAACATGTAAATTAATATTTTTTTCTGTGATTTTACTACTTATTATCTGTAATTTAACTGTGAAAATTAAAAAAAAAACATTTAGAAAATTGTACATCTTTGATCTATGTACATTTTATTTCAAATAATGATTAATATCTGTAAAATGTATGTTTTTTCTAAATCTAAGTATAGTAAAAAAAAAAGAAATTACTGTGAAAATGACACTGAATACCTGTAAAATAATATATATTTAGCTGGTTTTAAGACAATAAAGCAGCAATGTTCTGGTCACACATTGTGAAAGAACAAATGAACATTTATAAAAACAGTTTTTTTAATGATTCTTTACAGTTTTGGCCTCATTTTTACAGTCAACATGTACATTAATACCTATTTTCTGTGATAATACTCGTTATTATCATAAATTCAGCAAAACGTAGGAAATCTACACAATAACAGAAACTTGTTCCAGAGATTACAGCCAAAGCTTCAGGGATGACTGTTACATAAACGGACTGATTCACTGCTCGATGCTGTCACTCTTCTTATTTTTAAAAATACTCAGTTCTGTAAAATGAATCTGTGTGAATTCCCCAGAAGCCCCGGCAGGGACTCCTGTACTCTGCTGGGTGCCTGACGTTGACGTAATGAAGAGCTCTGATTTATTTCTCAGGCGTCTCTTCAGCTTCATCTTTGAAGTTCTTTTTACTACGTCTGCACTCTTTGATCTTTCGAGGAGGATCGAAGGAATCCGGAGCCTGATCTCTGAAGCATATATGATCCGACCGCCGTACAGACGATGATATAACATCCTCATCTGGGGCAGCCACTAACACGGTAATGCAGCCGGGTCATCCCCAGCCTCATGGGCCCCTGTGAGCGCTGCAGACAGGTTCTTGGCCTGTGGCGCTACTACGGGCAGCAAACTGCACCGCCGAGCTCCTGCAGGTCAATGTTTCACAGCCTGGTTTGAGTTTAACCTCCCCCATCCCTTAATCATTCACTGACAACCTCCCCCCAAAAAACCTCCTGCTGCTCAGTCATTGGCTGGAAAAGAATCACCCGGATCCAGGCCATGACGTCACACACTGGGACACACCCACAGCACACACACACACACACACACACACACACATATAGATATATATTACTATATGGAGTCAACTTGCAGTCTC